CTCTTGCAAAGATTGTTTTTTTGGGGGTCAAAGCTCTTCATCTTAGAAGTGTAATTTATATAATGTAGCCTCTTGGAGGCCGGTATGTTAATAAAAAATGATTGAGAACTTGAATATGTAGATTATATTTTCTTTACTATTTTTTTTTTTCCTTTCTGAATCATCTTTACCAATATACCCCCCAAATGTGATTTTATTTAATTCACAACTTTTTTCTTTTTCTTTGAAGGAATATCTGGCATTAACTTAACTTTGCTGAGGTTAATGAATACATACTGAAGAATCTTATCCATGATGTTACTAAATCAGGCATGCCTATAGATTAATTCAGTTTGGGGTCTTTATTGGTTCAATTAGATTAGATGCAGAGTAGGAAAAAGCAGATTGAATTACTGTGCCTTTATTCAGCTGTACCACTCAGCCATCCTGCTTAAAGAAACACAGAATGGTGAATGGAAAAAGAGGTATTTTCCTTGGTGGTAGTGCACTGGAAACAAGGGGACCCTCATCCACAGAGAAATAGGGAGTTATATCACTTGCTACTGAACAGTTGTTCTGGGTTATTTAACCTGGTTTCTACAGCATTAGAGCTAATCTACGGGGATGCTCACACCAAGTGCAAAATAGCTAAAACCTCCCTCCTCCCAGACCATTTTGATTCATTATCATCACTGAAAATTCACTGAAACTTGCTCTGATCATCTTCCAGTTAGTCATGTTTGTAGGTGAAGAAGTGGTACCTGCAGTGGTCTCCTGTTTAGCTATCTCCTGCTTCACTGCACAGCCACAGTCAAGGCCTTTTTTTCTGGTGGTAGCAGCAGTCTGCAAGTATATCTGCAACTCTTTCTGCACTATTGCTACAGACTTATCTGTTGAAACTTAAATACGAATAAATCATTAAAAAGGGTATTAACATATTGTGCTTGCCTTATATATATGTCTAATTCTTCACAGCTTTATAGAAATTTCCATTTAAAAATCTCATTACAGAAATTATTGCAACATGCTTTGAAGCAGCAGCACTCATTACAAATTATCTATGTATTGGAGTTTGGGAAATTAATGCACCAGGAAATGAAATGACTCACCCAGGGTTACCAAAGATGTATGTTCAAGTCATGATTAAAATCCAAGCTGTAGATATTCATTGTGTTTGCTGCACAATCTTTTTTACTCTTTCTCTTTCTTTCCTTTTTTCTTTTATTTTAAATCACATCCTACATTTATACATTCAGCTGGAAAATTCCACTGTGCTGCTTTTGTTGTCAAACTGTAATTGGCATTTGGCCAACAATTAGTTAAATACAGCTGGTTTGTCTTTCTGAGCCTTTCCTTTGTTTGTTTTGGGGTTCAAAGGATGGAGAGAAACTGAGATTCCTGGTAAAGAAGAATCAAGCTGTGGGGAATGGTGGGCAGAGAACCAGAAAGGAAGAGCCCAAGGAACTGCTCAAGTGATGGAGAGACTGTGAGATGTGCTGCTGCTGCTGCTGTTGTCTCTTATCCACAGATGATGTGGATTTTCCAACCTTTCAGTACTGGGGGGTAGGGAGAAAAAGAAGTTAGAGGTAAGGGAGGTACAAGGAGAGGCTGGAAGGGAGGGGACTGCACAATGGACCTTCCCTTATAGTACCTGCTCTGATACCTCCTCTGCCCAGGAGGATAGGGTGGAGATGGTGTGTATTCCTCTTTTTATAGGTTACATCTTCTCTAAAAATATGATGCTTTAAATGTGTGCCTGATCTCAGACTATACCAGTAGAGTCAACTTCCACAGTGCCCACAGCTTTCTGATTTGTGACTTGCAGGAGCGTTGCCCAAGTGTGTGGAGGGGACTTGCATTACAGCCTTTGTTAGGGGACCCAGTAATGCTCTGGTTGTAGGCTGATTTTTTTAGCAGGTGTGGCAAGGGACCTTGTTTTGGGGACTAGTTGACCAAGAATCTCTGATATTTGTAGTAACTGTCTGTTGTAAAGCAAAGAAATGTCTTTAGACAATAACATGTATCATCAATACTTAATCATCATGCGGGGTTGGACATTAATTTCTTAACTTCTGTTTTTCTTTCAATGCCAGATGGAGAGAAATGAGAATGAAATTCAAGGCCGTAAAATTGTAATTTATATATATAAACTGATGAGTGAAGAATAATTTTGATTTAAGTGAATTTGTCTTCATTTTGGAACTTCCTGACTAGTTTATCTTAACTTTAATTAAACAGATGTGCAAAATGTTTAATCTGTAATAATAATAGAAAAAATTAACATGTTTATCTTTCTCATTCCAATTTAGATTTTGAGGAGCACCACTCATCTGTAAACTACTATATACATATACAGTATGACATAGAGAATATTTCAAGCTGGAGAGATACTTTGTCTTTTTGCCTCTTTTGCAACTGCAATTTGAGAACAGTTAGCCACTGAGGTTAAAGACTTAAATGTGGGAACAATACAGATCCTGTGTAGCGAGTTTAAAGGCTGTGATGACACAGAGCATTGAGGAACTAGACCCCTTAGACTCACAGGATCCTTTCTTTTCCAATACAAAATCTTCAGTTTAGTTTCTGAAGCTTCCCATTTCCTGCTTTTCTTATCAGTAATCCTGTTCCCTGAGACAAGATAAATGTCAGATAATCTTTTTATCTGTTTGAAAAGTTAACTTTGTAATGAAAATAGAACAAGACTCAGTCCCCAACTCAATTCTCTTCTATTTAAATTTTAACACACAGCATCAGATGTACTACTGACTAGTAAATCCAAATTTGGTTTGGCCCTAGGACAATTTCAATTGCTGATGTAAAATGTAAATACTACTCTTAGAAAATGTGAGGTATCTTAAAAGAAACTGGTTGTGTTCTAAGACCTTATTTGCCCTCAAAGCTTGTGCTGCTGTGAAGTTATAGTATTTGAGGAAATTCTCAGAATACTGATGTAATTGAAATAAAAACAATACACAAATGAAGAGACAAGGTAATTAGAAATGTTTATGAAGAATAATTTTTGTTAAATACCATTTGGAAGGCTAAGCTCAGGTTTCTAGGAAAAGATTTTGCATATAATATTTCTCTATTTCTAAGGAACTTTTTATCTGTGAATAATGTATCTGGAGAATTCAAAGAATAGAACTTCCTGATAAAACAAATGAAAAAAAACCCTGTTGAGGAGGAATACATTACCTGCAATAAATGCACTTACCTACAGATGTGAACATGCTTTCTCAGAAAGAACAAAATAAGGAGTCACTTGTTAAATTGAAAAATCACAAGAAAAGATAAAAACCCAAGCCTTTATTGCCTCTTCACACTGAATCTCAGATCTCTTCCTTTTGAAGGAGAGACCCTCCAGAAGAAGAAAATTAATAAAATACTTGAATTTTCAGTGAAAATTTTTCTAGATAACAAGAACACGAGAATCATGTCAGCTGAAAAGGTTGTGGAAAGTAACCTTTATAATTGTATTTTTTCTAAATTTTAACAAAGACACATTATTATTAATATATTTATATAAGTATATTACCTTTTATTGTTTCTTAAGAGTAAATACAGTCTCTCATTCAGGTAGTACATCCTCTTGACTTAAAATGTGGTATAGCGTACAATTTTTTTATTACTTCACCATCTGGTAGATTCTGTGTTTATTGACAAGGTAAAATAGGTGCAGCTGCAACAATGGAGAATTACAGATCAAACTAGGAAGTGGTAAAATGTGGTCATTGCAAACCTTAAAAATGTATTATCCTAAAACATACCTAGCTTAATACTGATAAATATATACAGATTTTGGTTTTCAGACAGGTTGTTGCATTGTGGAAGGTGTATTAAACAGATCTAATTGTAAATCCTGCTCCAGCTTGTATGGGCTATTATTCACCTGATATATTAATTTCTGTTGTCAACTGTAGTTCAAATTACATTTGTTATTCATTTGAGAATTTTAACCAGTTGATTCAAACTTAGTTTTGACTTCAGATCAATCATATTCCAATTTTGAGCAGCTCCATAAAACCTCAGTTTGATGAGATGTGAAAATGCTTGCAGTTGTCCTGAGAAAAATCCATAAAAAATCTAAGAGTGTGGCTTGTTTTGAGAAATTTCAACATGAGTCACAAATACTCAGGATTCTTACATCTTTGAACAAGAATTTTCCAGCTGCATAATTTTGATCCCAAAATACTATCTCATGACATGTTATCACAAATAAATTCTCAGACCTTAAGACATTATTTTTTATAACTAGTCACAGAAATATGATCTCTGGTATATAGGAACTGTCTTATCTACTCTTTAGATTTTATACTCCTTGAATAATAGATAAACGTTGAACTACAGTGTCAGGAAAGTTATTTTGCATACATGGCATGTAATAATTCTGTTTGTTTCTGCTACTGAAACCTAAAAATCCCTGCTTCATCATTTATCATAGTATTCATGCATAATGTTAGAGATTCATCAGTAATGAAAACTTTACTCTGAGGCAGATTTTGATAGGAATTTAGATTCTCTGATGCAACTGCACCGAGACTTCAAACCTGGTGTTTCTTAGAATATGAAAGTAAAAAGCACATGGTGTTTTTCATATTTCAAAAGTAAAAGCATCTTCTGAGAAGGGCACATGGTGCAGAGACTGAATAAAACCATGTATTACTGTAGTCACTTACTCCAGTGTTCTTTGAGATGAACCACGCAGCGCTCCTTATTGTAGTTCTCCAGCTTTATGGAAGTAAGGTGGTTTTCTTACTCCTAACTAACATCTTTTCTTTTCTTATCAATCAGGATATGATATCACATCAGATATGATAACAATTCACAAGTGTGTTATTGTGTGGTTCAGACAAATTTTAACTAATGATTTTCGTAAGTGAAAAGGAACAATAAATTCTAGGATTTAGAATACTTTTTTAGTGAACTTTTTATTAAGTTTTGCTTGTTGTGTTGCCAAAGTTGTTTCTGAATTTTTCTATAATTTCAATTTTCAATTATGTTAATTTCTGAAACTGAATTTCTGTGTCTTAGACAATGTAGAAGGAAAGTTTGTGGATTCAACAGTAAAACTTACTGAGAAGGTGAAACTGGAATGCAGATATCCCCAAAAAGCCGTAATAATCCATACATCCTGGATGAAACTTAATGTAACTCATAAAGAAAATATAGCTGTCTTGCATCCAATCTATAGCATACACATTGAAGACAAATACAATGGCAGAATTTATTTTTAAAATTATTCCAGGGAAGACAAATCCTTATCCTTCATCTAGAGCAGTTTGGAGGATGTTGGTCTTTACTTCTGCTCCACTGTAACTTACCCAGATGGAATTTGGGAAAAGATAATAGAAGTTATTGAGCCAGGTAAGTAAATCTCTCACTGTTTTTTAAATTTCTGATATATGAAAAATAGAAATCCATGTTAATTTAGGGGGTGTCTGGCACTGTAATTTTTCTTTTCAGTTACATAGCATGCAGAAATGGAATAATTTGGGGGAAAGAACTGGAATGAGAGAAAATAATTATATTACTCTGGCAAAAGTAATTTTAAGAGAAGTGCGAAATAAAGAGGAGAAATGGAGGAGATAGTCAGAACTTGCAACAGCAATGTATCACATGGAAGACTTCAGGTACTAGTGGTCATTGTGACTGTGATATTTCCATTGGGCCAAGGTTTTCAGAGCATTTCAACAAGGATATATTCTCTTCAGAGGATGAAATTGCAACTACCCATGAAATTATATGGATGAACCTTGTAATTACCCATGGAGGGTAGCATATTTTTGCCATTAAGTTATACGGTCCCTGGTAATTTTTTTTTTTTTTTTTTTTTTTTTTTTTTTTTTTTTTTCCTAGAAGCTCTTCTGTGCTTGCTTTTTCAGGAACAAAATAATCATTTAGGAATGGTGTCACAACAAAAGGGAGGGAAATATGGAAGTTTAAATTTTTTAAAAAAAGACCTTTTCTTTAAAAGGAAACTTTTTAAAAGATGGAACAGGGAAGAAGGAGAGAAAAAGATCCAGCTATGCCCATATACTTTCTCTGTAGCTGTCCACATACTTCCCAAAGGCTCTGTAATTACCTGACCACTCATCCGATTTGGTTTCTTTTCCAGCTCTATGAGTAAGAGGAGAAAGAACCCTTTTTTAGTACTTTTTCATGCATGCTTATTCAGCATTGGTCAACTGACAACTCTGGTGCAAATTACCATGCTTCTCCAATAGGAAAGAAGTCCTTAAAAGATCATTATGTATGCATGATAGACTAGCCTTCAAAAGATCACTAGCTGCTTATTGGTTTGTTGATTTGATATTGTGAATGTAGAAAGAATCTGTTCCTCTCTCCCATTCTCCAGAGTGAAAATAGACTCCATTCAATCTTTTATTGTATTTCCCAGCTAGGAAAGAATGGGTTGAAAGAAAAATTTAGTTCCTAGCATTTGAAAGACCAGAAGATAAAAATAACAGTTCTTTTCCTAGCCTGATCCTTCTGAATCTTCATTTCAACCTTATTTTATCTGCACTTCTGTAATTTCATAGTTACAATGAAACAATGGACTTGACTCTTGTAGGTTATCTAAACTTCAAAAATTCAAAGTAGAATGTTCTTGCCTGCACCACTGAAAGTTTTTGAAACTTGATTTTAGCCAGCATATTTGTTGATGGCACTGATGAAATAAGAATCGCAATGTGTCTTCTTGTCTCTGCTAGCTTTTTATTAGTAAACATCGCTGCTCATTGAATCAGAAATTAAACCACACACAAATTATTGCCCTGACTTTGAAAAAAATTAATTCTGTCTCCCATGGATTGTTTAGTTAGGTAAGACAGTTTGGAATTTAAATTATTTTCCCCTGTGTGGCACATCATCACAGACATACAATTCACAGTCATTCACAGGTAGAGGGAACGTCCTGCTAATAAAAGACCTGAGCAGGGTCCCTCAAGGTAGGCTTTCAGTCCAGGTCAGAGTTCCTCAACTATGATCCCTTTAGTGGCATCTCTGAATGCTTGCTTCACTCCAGTGTCTTTTTAATTATGTAAGAAATAATGATACTGATGTAGTGTCTCCCTAGTTTATTTTTCTCTGTCAGTCCATTTAATGAACAATATTATTTCAAGTGTAGTCATTAGAAACGTACTTTTTGGTTACATTCAGATAATCCAAGATCTAGAAATTGAGGTTGCAGTTTACAAAAAGGAACAGGCAAACCAGGTCTCTTACGTTTCAGTCCAACCTGAGTTCTGACAGTGCTAGACCTTTATTCTTAGTTGGTTCATTTTCTATAAAATCCTAAATTAGATGCGTTAGAAATCTGTGAGTTCATTTAGTCCTTTTCCTGGTCAAGGCAGTACCAGTCTCAGCTCTTTGTTCCCGAATGTATTGACTAGAGTTAATCTAAAATGATGCAAGAAACAAGACATTCACTTTCCTGTGGGATGTTACCCTTCAATTCAATGACTTTACTAGACAATCTGCTTACCGATTTCAGCACACTGTAAACCAGACAAAAAGTGGATCAGTTATCAGAAGTTTGGTTTTTTAAATGATACTGTGATAATATTCTCAGTATATAGGATTTTTCTCTTGGTTTGAGCACACTAAAACTGAAACCTAAACCAAGAGCAGACCCCATATTTTTCAAGCATACTAATCTAATCCTGCTATGGAGTGAGGTAATAATGTTGAATAGAAATTAATCCTTGTCCATTTAAACAATCATTTAAAGAATCAAAGTTTCTGAGAACATTCCTATTCAGTTCTTGATAGCTATGTATAAATATGATATTTATAAACACTGATCTGAAGAGAATGAAGTGTATCACCAGTGAAGATAAAATATTACAACATCAATCTACACTGCAAATTAGATATGTTATTAAAACCAGAGTTTTGAAAAAGTATTTATTTATGTAATACTTATAATAGAATTATTCTCAGTCAGGCTTTATCTCACTTTACTAGTACCTTCATCAGTACTAAATGTTTTAAACTACCTGGATGACATCATACTTGATTAAAGAAACAGTAAACTTCAAATTTACTTCCATGCATCTGGTATTTTAGCTTGCTGCTGACACTAGATGTATTACTTTTCTTCTTTGTCTTCCAACCTATAAAATTAGGACACTGATGTTAATCTTTAAAGTTTTTTTATTCTGTAGCAGGAAAATATCATTGAGAAAGCTGAGAGATAGTCTCATAATTTCACTGTACATGGATCTTCTATAGGATTAATATACACAAATAGTTGAGGTCTTGGAATATAAAGGTTTTTTTAAGGAATCTCATTTTCATTGGAATATAGAAATCTGTCCAACATACTAGAAAGATCAATTACTAGATAATTAAAACTTCTTTCCTATTACACTGTTTTCTTTTGTTAGGATTTATTGGTTCTCAATAGACATTACGCTTTCTAAAAACATTAATTTACCTTCAGTACCCCAGATAAACAACTCACTGCAAAATTATTTTTTTCTGTTTTCAACAGTTAATCAACAAACATTTAATAGACTATATTTTTTGGGGGGGTGGGGGGAGGGGTTGGAATTGCATGATATCTAGTGCTTTGCTGTTTGTGATTTTAGTTTTAAACTTTAGCTGGCTAAACTAAAGTTGTGTCTGCCATTAAATGGATGCAACTTTGTGGACATATAATATTCAACATGAAACTTAAACTTACTCTGGTAAATCGGCACAGATGAAGTTAAGTTGATATTATTAAGGTTTATTTATTTTGTGCTACCAGGGAATTGAAAATTGTCAGGATTTATCTATACTGACCTGTTTCTGTGGGACTCAGAGATATTCCTGCAACAGCTTAAGTAGGTAAGTATGCCCTTGAGGAATCTGCAGCACATACCTCAATGAAAGATGTCAACCGAATATAGATATAGCATATGTGATTGGCTTTCAGAATTTCCATTGAAAGGAAATGGCAGAAATAAATTGAAATAATGCCATATGGCAATGGAGATTCTTAACTAGCTTAACCTATAAGGGGAACTGTTCTTCACATGACGATCATATCTGCTGGCAGTTACATAAATTTGGATAAAGTATCTTGGATTAACTTTAACTGGCTTGCAAAACAATGAACGTTTCTGCACTCAAACAGTTCAAAGTTGCTCTAGTGTTTCATTCCTGGTAATCAACAGGGGTCATGAGTCTGATTCTGTTTTCCTATGTTTGTTGTATATTTTTTTTAAAGCTACAAATACAAAGTGAGTAAAATTGATATGATTCTGATTGGTCAACATTCTATATTTGCATAGTTTGAATCCTCAAGTGCTGATGAGTATGTATTTCAAATAGTGTCTAATGGTTACAGTAGTGTCACTAAATCCAGCAACTCAAGTGTTAACAAGACCCTGTCACTACAAGATCAACCAGTTAAAAAAGTTTGAGGATCATCACTTTCTTTTTTAAACAAAAATACAGAAACAGAAGAAAGAAGTCAAGTACTTGAAAAGTGTTAAACACTTTTATTTTTCTTAGTATTCTGACATTTTACTTATTTCTTTCCCTTTAGAGTAAAGGTGTCTTTATAAATTAAAAGTCCACTGTGGTTACACTTTTTCATGTGATTAAAGATGTCATAGAGTAAATAAAAGATCACAACAGATTCGCAGTGTATGAGATGGCAAAATAATACTGAAGAAACTCTATTTAGGACCCCGTTCCTGGCTTATCTTTGGTTGCAGAATAGCAGAGTTCACCCTACTGTGGTCTGGGTGGGGTGAACATAATTCTTTTTCAATCAGGGACAAAAGTTAAAAAAAAAAAAAAGGAAAAAAAAAATTTAAAATGAGCAATGGCTGAGCTGTCCTAAATACCTGAGATACCAGGAGACAGAGTAGGTTATAGCACTCATTACAGATGTCTTTTCTCAGTCTATTATCCTCATTGCAGCACTGGCAAATAGAATACCCTAGAAGTGATAACAAATTATCACTTATATAATTTTTTTGATGTAATTATTGTAGTAATTGATTTTTTTTTTTACTAGATGTGGTCTCAGCTTAGTCTTGGGGCTTTATCAGAATACATAATAAAAAAGTTAGGACATATTTTGTTCTTTTTACATTAAATTTTGGCTAAAGATTTCTTATGACACCTATGAAATAGGTGAGAAAGAACACTTGCAGACTGCACAACGTTATCCGTGTTTTCTTTATTGGCAGTTGCTGAAACATACTGACAGAAAAGCAGTAATACTTGGGATATTATATTGGAAACTTCACATTTTATGTAGGTACAGTATATCCTTAGAAGTGGATACAGTGTTGAAATTCTGTGCCATAATTGCGAAGAACTTGAGAATATGTTCTGCCACTGTTACACATGAATATATTGACAAAAAATAGTCTAGTTATCCCTCAGGAAAATATTTGCCATGTGGGTGAATCTGTTGCTTCTTTTTTTCCTGTAGTGTGAACATATAACAGTTTTCAGAACTGAATTCAAGAGATTTTTTTCCCTTAATGTTCCCACATTTTATGAATTACAAATAATCCTGCACTAAGCAGACAAAATTCATACTATCAGAGAAAGCTCCTTGTACAATTTTTTTAAGATGCAAAGATTATGTAGGAATAGTCAGTAGTTTTATTTCACCTTAATGAACAGTTTAAGGATGATCTGTAGTTTCTTATATACAGAATTTCTGTATATTTTGAAACTTCTGTTTATTTTCTCAGGAGTTTTATGTCAGTTGGTACTAGTTTGACTTAAAAATTCCCATGTTATGTTGTGAATAGAATGGAAAATATTCTTCTGATGTTTGTAGTGACTTTTACACCCATAATGTGAATTATGCAAGTTGCATAATTTGTTGTTTGTTTTTGGTTTTTGTTTCAGTCTTGGTGGTATATGATTGGAAATTGTTATTTTTTAACTTTTTTTTTTTTTTTTTTTTTTAATCATGAGTACATTTGTGTTTCTGTCAATCAGTGACAATGGACCATTTGCTCAGGGGATATGTTTTGCTAGTGACTCTGAATAAGAATGGAAGTTCGTTAATAGAGTATTTAAATGCCAGATGTATCATGAAGTGCTCCCATATTTTAAATAGAGTGATCAACCTCTTCTGTGATAGCAGAGACCGAGATTTTCTATTCTTAGCTAGTGTGATGATATCCATGCCACTCAGCACTTACTTCTATATTAATGTTCTTCTGCCTGCCAAAAGCAGCACGTTGCATAGATTTTTTTCAAGTCCCTTTTCACCTGAAATAGCTTGCTTTCTATTTATCTCTGTCTTAATTTAGAATGTGATTCATAGGTCTACAGTGAAAAATTATCAGCCCTTTAAAGCACATGGAAACAAGAACTAATTCTGAGGGATCTTTATTCTTCAGCTCTTAGACTATGAGCTCCCCAGAGCAAGAACTATCTCTGTATCTTACAGTGTCAACCACATTGTCAGCACCTAATTAGAAATCAAGAAGATGGAGGAAAGTGAAGCTGCCTTTTTCACACTTCTGCTGTGATTATTGACCTGTTAAATGCTGCTTTTCCTGCTTTTTATCTTCGGGTATGAACTAAGGGTTGGATACCCCTTCAGTATAAAAGACTAAGGGAAATAAAACAAACCAGCCCTGTTGGGAGTAGAGCAGATATCTCCTCTTCCTTTCTGAAAGAAAATCTTAGATCAAACAGAATTATAGGGTTGTGAAAAACTCAGACTAGAAGAGACATTCCAAATTCATCTCATCCATCTCTGTGTTCTGAGGCAGGATAAGCATATTTGTATCTTCCCTGACTGAGTCCCATGTTGGAAATGCATGCATAATACTCTTGTGTAGTCATTTTAGCACTTAACCAGCCTTACAAGGAGATATTTTTCCATTATGACTAACCTAGATATCTCTTGCTTAATACTGACTTTATTCACTGTAGAACTTTCTTTGAAAAAAGAGGAAGGCTCTCATGTTGACAGCCTTCAGTCATACCTCTGTATGAAACAACACAGTTCTTCTAAATTTTCTCCTTAGTTCATGACTTTAAATTTAATCATTCTTGTTTTCATCAGAATTTTCTCCAGTTTATATATAACCTTATTAAAATAAGATACGTAAAAGGAAAGACTATGTTCCATCTTACATGATGGTCCAATCACATAATGTCTCAAACATCCAACAAAGAACTTTGGTAAACAAAATGGTCTCCATGGAAATGCTGGCACTTTGAAGGGCTGTTGTAAGAAGAGACGGTCCCACAGAGGTGGGACCACACTTTTCTGAGGCGGGACCACACTTTTCTGAGGCTGGACTTCCCTACCTTGGTCAACTCCATAAAGAAACAATAGAGAAACCATTTCAAAAACTCATGTTCCAGGAAGACAGGGCAGACATTGATCATACCTGGAGGGAGGGGGAAGTATCTCCCTAATGACCTCCAAGCCACTGACCCATTTCCATAAGACTCTGAAGGTACAAACTACACATGCACCAGGGCCAAGAGAACACTAGAAGCATAGACTGTGCATGATACTTAATTAGCCTAATGATTCCAAGCACCTGCCTGGAGGAGGGGCAAGGGATTATAAAATGACACAGATTGAAGCCCCGAGCAGTGGTACCTCTCCGGAACTGGACCTCTAGGCTGGCTGGACCAATGCAGGAACAAGGAGTGGTAAAATCTTTCCTTTTTGTCTCTCTCCCTTCCTCTCTTGCCCTCTTTGCTTTCTTCTCTCTCTTTTTCTCTCCCATTCTCTATCCCTGTATCCCTGCATACACAGCCAAGCTTGTTGGGGCATGTTTACAGCTTGTTGGGGTATGTTGTAAGATTTGCGGTTCATTGGTCTAAGCTGTGGGGTTTACTGCTTGTTACAGAGGTTGCAAGGCTTACTGATGAAGTTTCATGCCAGTATCTGTTGTGAACAAATAAAAGTTAAGATTCCAAGTTGAAGAATCCCTGGTGTCATTTCACCTTAATCTTGACCCAGGAATCAATGAATGTGAGTCGCTGTCCCAAGAAATTGGGATGTGACATTTTACCACTGCTAAATGAAGCAGAATAATACCTCCTTTGTCTTGTATATGACTCTCAGTTGACATACCCCAAAAAATTTGTCTTTTGGAAGTAATGTGGTAATATTTTTGAATCTATTTGGCTAGCAATCAGAGCATCCAAATCCTTTTATTCAGCACTGGGGATTTTTTGACTTTTTTTTCTTCCTATTTTCTTTTTTTTTATTCCTTACCATTTTGAATGTTTGGTTAGTTACTAAGAATAATAATACTGCTATGTACTCTTGGTTACTTTGTTTGCATTAGAATATGCTATGTTAAGGAAAAAAGTTGTAACATTCAGTATCATGAGGACTGCTGTGTTTTTACCAAAGTAAGATAAAATTAGAAGGGTTGTTTTATATGTTCCCTATGAGCATTGTTTTGATGAACGTGCATTGCATGTCAGCTGGACACTACAGCTATTAATTGACTTGTTGTTGTGTGATAATTTGGGGATGACTCTCTTCTCATCTGTTCATCTACTGACCCAACCTGCTGTCTGGGGAGATTTGCTGCTTGCTGGTGTAGACTCTAGGATGATGCAGAGAGGCTGCCAAGACTTGCCCAGTCCTCAGGCTCCTGACTCCTGTGCTTTTCCACACATACATCAAAGATGAGTCCAGGAGAGACATGAAGCACATCAGCAATAACTATGTGATGCTGCTGGTGGTGATCAAGGAGGCTTAAATTGTGTCTCCTTGATACTTCTGAAGAAGGGAAAAGCCCTGGGAAGAGGACATGTATTCTGTGGGTCAAGACCCAGTTGCGTAGCTGGTGTCAATAACAACGTGTTACCTTTTAACACCATGGACCCTTTTTGATGATCGGGGACTGCTAGGAAGAGACAGGATCCACCTGAGCATGTGGGAGAAAAGAGGAGAGCTTTAACAGGAAAGTGAGATGACAACCCACAAATGAGCAAGAAAGTGGATTGGACTGACAAACAAATGGTGTGGAATTATATGGACAGAAAACAACTTGAAATCAACAAATCAGGACACAAGGGTGACTATTCCAAGTATGTCCACGCAAATAAGGAAATGCTGAGGGCACACATTGTGGGGAAATTCTCTTACCGTTTCTGGGAAATCAGCACAACTGGGTGACCATATGAAGTGTCTGTACACCGGTGAACACAGCATGGGCAACAAACAAGGAATTAGAACTCTGTGTGCAGTTATAGGTATATGTCCTGGTTTGGGCTGGAATAGAGTTAATGCTTATTTTTGGTAACTAGAATAGTGCTGTGTTTTGGATTCAGCATTGGGTTTGGCATGAGAAGAATGCTGATAGCACACTGATGTTTTCAGCTGTTGCTGAGATTTCAAGGACTCTCTGACTCCCCATGTCCTGCCCGTACGCAAGGGCACAAGAAGCAGGGAAGTAGCATGGCCAGAGCACCAGACCCAGATTGGCCAATGAAATTTTCCGTATCATCTAACATCATGCTCACTATATAGAGGAGGGGTGGTCGGGAAGGGGCTCTCTCTCGCTTCCAGGATTGCGATTGCAGGATCTTGGTATTTCGGGATCACCAGCTGGGAATGGGCTGGGTATTGGTCAGCGGATGGTGAGCAATTGCACTGTGCATTGCCCATTTATATTTTCTATTGCTGTTGTTGTTTTCATTTTATTACCATTATTTAACTGTTTCTATCTCAACCTGCGAGTCTTCCTTTACACCTCCAATTCCCATCCCCATTCCCAGGTAAGGGGGGAGGCTGGGTGAGTGGCTGTGGGGTGGTTGGCTGCCGACCAGGCTCAAACCACAACAGGCTACAATCTCATTGAGATCACCAAGACATGGTGGGATGGCTCACCTGACTGGAGTGCTGAAATGATTGGATACAGGCTCTTTAGAAAGGGCAGGCTGGGATGGTAGGGCAGAAGAGTTGCCTTTTATATGAGAGAGCAGTGGGAATGTAAGAAGTTTTGCCTAGGCATGGATGATGATCCATCTGAGAGCTCATGGGTCAGGATTAGCAGGCAGATTAACATGGATGATGTTGTTGTGGGTGGCTGCTACTGCCTGCCTGATCAAGGTGATCAGGTCTGATATACATGAGGCCTCCATCAGACAACTGGAAGACGCTTCACATTCTGTGGTCCTCATGGGAGAGTTCAACTACCTGGTATCTGTAGAGGAGCAACAAGGCAGGGCACAATCAATCTGGTAGGTTTCTGGACTGCATTGATAACATCCTCGCTCAGGTGATTAAGTAGCTGAAGAGAGGAAGCACTCTGCTCAACCTAAGACTTGCAGAGAAGGAAGAATTTGCTGGGGTTGTGAAGATCAGGAACAATCTTGGCTGCATAGTAGAGATCATGATCCCAAAAGAAGGAAATAAAAACAAAAAAGCTGTTTCAAAACTCTGGGTTTCAGTAGAGCAGACTTTGGCTCGTTCAGACATCTTCTTGGAAGAATCCCAAGGATGGTGGAGAAAGGGTTTTCAAGGCAAACCTCCTCCAGTGTTCCATCCAGACAAGGAGGAAATCAAACAAAAATGCAAGAAGGCCTGCATGGATGAACAAGAAGTTCCTGACTAAACTCAGACATAAAAAAGAAACACAGATGTGATGGAAGGAGGGGCAGTTGACCTGGAAGGAACTTTGAAACATTGTCCAAGCATGAATTGGTGCAGGTAGGAAAGCTAAATCTGACCTGGATTTGAATTTAGTGGGTTAATTTTTTTTTTTTTTTTTGGGGGGGGGGGCAAGTATTGCCTTACCTCTATAAGCCAAAAATATTTAATGTTCTCAGCTATTATTCCCTAATTCAGTGCCATTGCAGCCACTACTGGGAAACTCAACTAAAGTATGGTATTATCTCTAGTTTCAACCATAATTGTGGTGACACCCAGTTGTTAAATCCAGATGCAAGAGTTTTATAACAGTTTTTTGTTTCTGAAAGTGTAAATGTGATGGATGAAATTTTGAGATAACGGAATTTGAAATCATTACAGGATGCAATTTCAGGGAAAAATGGAAAGTGTACAATGACAGCTTTAAAAATATTCAAAAATAAGGAGATAGTATTAATTTATGTAGGACAGGCTGAATAATATTTTATTTGGGGAAATACAAGTTAGGTCATGAAATGGACAGAGGTAGGTGAAAAGCAGAGGTTAAAAGGAATTATGGATTCAGGTAGTTAAACTTCCAAATACTCTAAAGGCAATCACTAAGAGGTGATTAATATTTTACATTCTGAAATATTTCTACCTGCAGAACCTCTTTCTGCTGCTTATATTTCTAATGATGAATGTTTCTTTCAGCTGGCCTGTCATACAGGATTCTAATTTATAACTTCATAAGGAAAAAAAGAAATGGAAGAGAAACGTTTGGTAAAACATACTGATGATATATTGATTTATCCTATTTTCTTACCTGACACTAATCTGTATAACAAACTTATTATGAAATAAACTGTATCTTTCCTTCTTCACCAATATATTTTCAGTCCATAAAACAACCCATTAAAAGTAATAACTAGGATCTGAGATGAAGGGCAGCAATTCCTCACAGTGCATCCTCATGCTGTACTCCTGCTGTGCAGCTTGGGTGTGTACCCTGTCCATTGCCTTAACAGCCTTGGCTTTCCCTCCTGAGAAACACTGGTTCAAATAATTGTCTTTAGGAGCCATTTTGATTTTTCACTCCCTTTCCCTTCCCCTCTTCCCTGCCTTTTTTCTTCTGTGTGGCTTAAAACATGATATCCTCTGCTCTATTTCAAGTCTGACCCTCAGGAACTTTGTGGAAGATATGAACAGGTAGGCACAAAGGCACACACACACACACATGCACTCATGCTGTGACATGCAGTTTCTCAGTATAGCATTTCTCTTCATCCACTGTGAGACAGTGCAGGTCATTTACAATAAGTGAAGGCTGAGCACAGCATCCTGGGCCACCCCTTCTGTCTGCTCATTGAACTCCTATGGGTGGGAAATTCCCTTCATCCAGAACAGATGAAATTCCTGGAGAGGATGAAAATTTGAAATTCTGGCCTCTTATACCTTCAAGACTCTCCTGCAAGTGAACCCTGTCATAGTGCATTATATACTTTTATCAGATGACTTCTTCCCCAACAACCAGATTCTCCTTGCTGGAAGTTCATGAAATTTTATACCTGAAGAGAGGATGATTTTCTCACTATTATTAGTACTGTACTTTTTCTCTCTCCCTCTCTTTGGCTTCTTCCTTTTCTTGCATTCTAGGTAACTAATGTTCAAATTAAAAGAGTAAAATAACAACAAAGATTAGTGGAATATATGTAAACAAACTGGAATTGGCAGGTGAATTACAACTGTAGGCTGTGTTTATAATGTTATGTAAAATTAATAATTGGTACAGAAAGATTCACCAAATTGTCACAATATAATTTAATATCTATTTAAAAGGATGGTTTAAGTATATAGGAGTATAAATACTTCCATTTTAACTTTTATGATCCAAATAGTTGCTATTAGAAAAATGCATTCTTTACAAACACTACTGATTTCTGAGTCTGATTGTAGAACTGGTGTCAATAGTGCATGAGAAATTAAGATCTTTACTGGTCCAACTAATTTAACAGATATTCATCCATGTTCCCCTGTCTCATCCAAAAAAAAAGGACAAAACCATTTTTTCAGAAACTCAACAAAATTGTGTGGCATGTTCTAACACAGTTGGAAGACACTGGTTTAGAAGCTAAGTATAATTCCATATTTAACCTATTCAGGAAGGGTGAAGGGGTCACTCTTGAAGTATTTTTTTTATCTACAAGCTGATTTTCTTGGTGAAAAGAAGAGCCCCAGACAAAGTTCATCTTCATAAAATTTTAAACCTCTTTTTCATCTGCAATTTGTTTTGTCACTTCTTATTATAAGCAGAGGAAGAAGACTGTGTTTGTATGTGGAGCTTCAGCAAACCATGTGGGACCTGGGAACCTGTCTCTGCTGTAGAGCTAAGCTAGCTTTACAGTTTTGAAAAATCTGCTAAAGCCATTAGGTATTTCTGATGGGGAGCATTACTTCCTAAGGGTAGCTACTTTGAAGGTAACTCTGTTACTATCAGACTGAACAGTATGAGCCTGTCCTTACCTTGTGGTACCTGGAAGCACATGGAAAATGTCTGTGTGTGGGGGTGGCTGAGGATAGAGTGTGACTCCTCATGTTTGTGGCTCGGCAGCGTGTGCACTTTCCTGCAGCACCTGATGTAAGTCCCTTTGTATAAAGCTAGCTCTGGTAGTACTTAACCTCTGCTAAGCTTTAAGCCTCAACAGAGATGCAGAAACATGGTAAGCTAGAAGAGTGTTTCAATACATTTTATTTCACTGTGCTGAATTTTGCCTTTCTGAAGTTGCAGAGCTGATATTGAAGTATGCTTCTTGTTTTCTTTGTATATGGTTTTAAACCGGGAGGAATGCATAAGATTTATGCGTAGTCCAGACCGAAACTCTGGAACCTTGTGTAAAATTATAAATCTGGTACTGGCAAAACTTGCAGAGAACAGTAAATGAAATGTCATAGATATCGATTTTAAAAATTAATAAATGGGCTGAAAACAAGTACAGGTATCTAAGCAACTTTCATCTCAGGAAAGAAAACTATCAGAGACCAAAAGAACAAAAAATAAAATATTTGAAGTGAATAGGACAGGAACCAAAATGTAGAAAGTCTAAAAAAGTCTACCCAAAAGAATAGGATCAAACTTTTACATATCATTTATTTTGACTTTTAATTGCATGTAGCAAGAGCAGGAGGGGGAAAGAATAAGAAAAGATTACACCATTATTTTATTTTCCTTCCAAAAAGCATTTCTTAATTTCAACAATTTCCCTGCTGCAGCATTTGAGTTCAGTTTCTCAATCCTTTAAATCCTGGGAATTTGTTTTACACTCTTTTATACCTCTTTATTTCTGAGATTTGTTTTCCAAGAAAAGTATATGTAAGATTATGTTTTTTAAAACTATGAAAGCTTACATTTTTTTCTCCTTTAAATGGCTAACAGACCTAACGCAGATATAAATGTGTATAACTGCAAAATATGATGCGATAACATACTGCTGAAAGAGATGCAGGGAGGATATCAAACACAGAGCACTTCTTTATTAAGCAGAGACAATGGACCTACCACGAGTGCAGTCACCTCCTCCTACTTTCTGTCCAGGAGGCAAGCTGACGTGGCCATGGCAGGGGCAGAGCAGGCAGCAGTGGCAGTCACTGGAGTGAGCAGCCAGTAGGGAAAGTCTATTTCTGTCAGATGCACTGATAAATTCTTTTTAGCATTTCTGAAATGTTCACACATGGTGTGTCACCTTGCTTGTGCGTGTGAGGGGGTGAAGGTGTGTGGGTGTGCTTTTTTCCCATAGAAGTATTTCTCAGAGTGGGAGGTTCTCATCCCACGTGTACCAGACTGAAAGCAAAGAAACTGTGTTCAGAAAGGTGCTAAATAAAGAGAATGGTTGAACAGAGGAGAGGGAAGATGAAAGAACTATGCTGATGCTGGTGTCAAAATAAAACGGGACAATTGCTTAAAACAAAAGCCTGCAATACTTTAGTGTACTTGGAAGATTTAATTAACTGTGTAAGCCTAAGTCTCCAGTGTTTGTGCCTTACATAATCATTTAAATTGTGCAAGGTGTCATGTTGTAAGAAGGGGAGAGATTTACATCTTTCATCAAGAGTGAAAATACCTGAATGGTGTTGCATACTGTCAAGTAAAATACACAGGCAAAGAAAAAAAATGTGTCATGATGTCTGTGTTTGAAAATGGTGGTTATAGAATTTATGGTGGCCAAGAATCTCAATATTATTTCTATTTTAATTTGTCTGTTCATATGCAGTTCTCACTATTAACATATTATTTATTATTTATATACTAGCAAATTATACAAATATATCAAGACTTGTACCTGGAAATTCTTCACTGAAGTTGCAAAGCAACCTTAGCTTTGTAATGTACCTATTAGAGTATACTACACTATGTTGTAGTGTTATATAATATCAGAAACCTGGGATAGATTGTTTGGCAAATACAACACATGAAGTTAACTAAGAAATTGTAAGACAGAATGGGTTTTCATTATTTTGGTGGAAAGTGTTTTATCTTATATTCACAGTTCACCATATGTGTAATGTACACTTTTTCTAGCAACTGTACAGCAGAGCAATGGGGAAGAAGGCTGGTTGTTGGCTGCCTTTTGGGTCAGGTGGGAATCCTATGGAAAGTGGGAGGTAGCATCTTCATATACATAATTTCTGTAAAAAGCATGTTTAGATAGGAGACACACCCAGAGTTCAGGGTCAAATTGGCATGAAATGAATAGGAAAACAAGGATGGACCCAGGAGCAGATGAGGAGACTTCAAGGTTCCTAAGGAGAATGCAGGTAACTGTAGGGCTTGTTCATAGCAGAAGACTGAACAAAGAAGAAGACAAGACTTCTCAGGGAAGAATATGTGGTTTATTGTAAAGCAGGCAATTGCTGGAAGTTAGTGATCTGAAAAGTGGGACAGGAGGAAAGGATCTGACCTCTGAGAATATGATGTGCAAGAAAGAGAATCGATTTCAATCACCTTTTCATTTACCCCTCTTCTCTAGCAGATCTGAATCTGAATCTGCAGATCTGAATTTGCAGGGTATAAAAACATTGCCCGGTTTAATGTAGTGACTTTTGAGGGGCTGCACTTCCAGGAACATGTTTTGCAAGTGTAGAGTCCCATCATAGTTGTCATTTAGTCTAATTTGAATAATACTTAGACTTCCATGAGTAAATTCTTGCTGGAACAAGCCTGATATCTTAAATGATTATCCAGCCTTGACAGTTGTCTTTAGTAATGGAAATTTAGCTGTCTTTGGCAAGCTGTCCAAGGAGTTAATTAGCTTCACTGTATTGTACCTTCTGCTTAGTTTAGTGAATTTATCTCTCTTCTGTCCTTGTCTGTCATTAACTTTCTGTATCCTTGATTGCAGTCTACATGAATCTTCAAGTTCTTCATTATTCTTTTTTTAGGCAAACTCATTAGACACAGCTCCTTTTGTCTTGCAGCATTTTAATATTTTAATCATACTTCTGGTCTCCAAAGTTAGAGGGAATGTACTTTTTCTGTGTTGTGTTCCATTGATAAAAAATTGTAGGCTAGACTTTTTCATTCACCATTTCACAGAGACTGCACAAGTCTCAGAGGTCACAGATTTCCACAGTGAAATCTCCATCCTGTCAACATGAATGGAATTATTTATTCCTAGATTCAGGGTACTGTACTTGCCCACATGAAATCCTACTACTCTTTGCACCTAGCTTAGGAGGTGAGCTAAGCCACCCTATATTGATTTCTCCAGTACCTATGATTTTGACTATCCTGACACTACTAGCATTCAAAGAAATAGAGTCTACCAGCATTTTTTGTCCTAAGTTTTTGATAAACATCATATCAAGGAGGATCTAAATCTAGCTCACTCCTTCAGCATGTTCAGTTCCACCCAGAGTTATACTGCAACAATTCAGTCCCATGAATGTAGCTACAGCTTAATTTTTAAACTTTTTTTTTTTTTATATAAACAGATTTTAATGCATTTAAGGATTGTATTTTTTTCTGTGCAATTTTAATTTTCTGTCTCTGCTTCCAGTTTTTGCCATAGATAGAGGCAAACACATTAAAAATACATAGTAGTGACATTTTTTGACTTAAAGACATTTAATAAAATAAAAGGAACTCATTGAAGAGCTTGAAAGATGGCTCCTCTTACAGTGTGGAAAAATCAGTCTGATCATTAAACTTTTTCAACATTAAAGTCTTCAAAAAGATGACAGTGTTAGTCTTAACTTATAAGATATAGGCATTATACCAAGTGGCTATTGAATGCTCTGAATATCAGGAACATTGACAATCCGTCTACTGAAGATTTTTAAATGTTTTTTCTTAATTTGTAAGCAGTTACTTCTATTACTAAAAACAATAACTCAGAGCAGGGGGATTTCAGTCAAAATTATTTAAGATATAATGTACCTGTGGTTTATATGTGGTGGAAGTCTTGAATTTGTCTGCAAGTCTCCTTTCATACCACAGTCTGACTATCATACACGTTTTTCCCAAGTGGAATATATGGATGGATAAGAGTATTTTTGTTTAAGTGGTGAGGTTTGTGAATGGGATAATTGTAGTTCATAGTCTGGAACATCTTTTAACAGAATTTACTAATGCATGTCCTGAGGGTCACATCAAACCATTTTCTTATTATAATCAGTGTGAAAGCAGAACAATACTATCACAAATTTAATTAGAATTGCCCCATAATTTAGGCTGTTGAATATTTGCTGAAACTGTTAATTAAATGCTCATGTACTCAAAATGTATAGAGTACATCAAAATATATAGTGTACTCAAAATGTGTATTGCCTTCCTGCACTGCCATTGCAGCTTCCCAGTTCCATAAAGACTGTTTTGTCTAAGTGTGCACAAAAATATAGTCATGGGTAGTTATAAATTATATTTTTCAATATTTCAAATTATTTTAATATCTTTCTTCTGCAAGTCAATTTTATTAATATTTTCCATACAGGAATTGTTGATACTAAACTTGCCTTGAGTGAATTATAATCACTGTTTTTGTTGTTTTTTGTGTCTTTCAACAGATGCTTTTGAAGTATCTGAGAAACAAAATAATCCCATGTTTACCAAGCCAGGAGGAAATGCTTTTACTTGCCCTTATAAAATTGGAGATTCAGTGCAGCAAGTGAAGTGGGAAAGGATTAAAGCAGATTGGGTAGATATTGTTCTGTGCAGCTTGTCAGGAAAACAAAGCTTTGGTTCAAATTTCAAAGAGCGTACACTGGTGGATTGCTCTGATCAGGAAAACTCCATGATTGTCATTCAAAACATTACAGATTCTGACTTTGCAACATACCGCTGCCTAGCTACTGGAATAAACACAACCTGTGTAAGGAGTTTTACTGTGGCTGGTAAGTAAAGGAGGAAGTGGTGAATGTTCTCACATTAGGATGTTCTGAGGCACTCTTGCACTCCTACCCATATGAAATAACTCTTCAGTAACAAGTGAGGGTTTATTTAAATAACACATTCCAAATAGCAGCAGTGAAAAAGACAGTAAGGTTAACAATTAATCTCCTTTACACAGAAATAAGTTGGTTTTAAGCTTGTCTGATCTCATTATAGGACTTTAGGCCTGTTTGTGAGAAACTGGTTTGATGTTAGGAAGGAGACATTTAGGAAGAGGAGAGACTGCCCGAGTCTGCAGGAAGACACGGGCATTCTCCCAGAGAAGGCACAAGGGGAATTTTTCACTAGCACAGTGCACTGCAGGGTCCTGGGGACAACACCTAGCCTCCAACAAAGGCAAGGAGCACACTCTCAGCTGAAAATGTAAAAAAAAGTAAGCTGGCCTCTGCCTTGGTCATGTAAGGAGTTTCTTTAAGAGGAGCCGAGAAGTTCTCTAGGTTTTTCTGTCACTATTGTCACAGTTTGATTATAATGGGAGCTTCGGTCCCCACATGTAGATAGTTAGAATAAAATTTCTCAAACTGTGAGCTGAATCCCACCTTTATTTTCTCTTATGACTGAAAAAACCCCCCAAAAAACAAACAAACCTACTCAGTTTTGGTTCTTCTCTATCAAATGCTCTTTGATGATATAGTTCTTGTACCACCCCGGTCCTTCTGATGAAGCATGCAGTCGTTGCACTGCCTTTGTTCCTGGTAATACATGAATGTTAGTATACATATCCTTGGCAGTACTAAATGCTGTAGCATGGGGTATAAAACTTCAGAATATGCTTAATCTGTAGTATAGTTATTTGAGAAATTGTGGATATGCTCAGGGAAAAAAATGCTGATCTGCTTTACTCTGGATACTTGACCACAAGTGTTTATGAAATTGAGCAGAATGTGATAAGAAAAGAGGTACCAGGACAAAAATTAATCTCACCTCTGACAATTTCAACATTCAAATTTCAAAATGTTAATTATATTCATATAATCAAGCATGTCCAAATTGTAGAGCAATAGAAATATTTGCTATTTACTCCAAGTGCAGTTCTTCTCATGCCAAAATGAAAGCAAATAAGTTGTAAAAAATACAATAACTTTAAGAATTATCAGTCCTACCTACACTAACTATTTCTTCTCTAAAATGTTTAGCTTCCATGCTTCTTTTGCTCTTGAAACAAATCCTGTTTATCATTTTTAGTTCTAACAATGTCAGCATAGTTATGCCTGTTTATTGGAGAAAAAAAAGTATGAAACCATCGAAGAAGCTGAAGTACAGTATGATTCTGAAAACACCCCATTGTCTCCCTTTTAAGCCTTCAGTATTATGAAGTGCATTTTGTTGAATTTTCGTTTATTCCAAAGCAAGTGAAATGTCAATTATTTTCAATTATTTCTCTAAAGATTGGATTTGTTTCATAGCACTGTTAATAATTTCAGTGAAATGTGGAATAACACTAAGAAGAAAGGACCAACAGGCCAGGTGTCAGCTCCCACTGCAACCTGTGGCATAACCAGTGAAGTCTCTCGCAAGCTCATGAGTGACTTACTCTGCTTGATGCAACAGCTGTGGCTTGAATAAACCAAGCAGGGACAGAAACTTGGTATGCTATGTTTTTGTGTATGTTCTATCAGTTCAGTCACACCATTTTCTTTGGCTTAGCATTACGGCTAAGTCATGCTCTAGCTTGGATTTGCTACCAAACTCTTCCAACATTTTTAGCCTGTTGGTGTGATTCTGCATGGGTGCTGCAAATCTTCTCACCTAGCCCAGTTCCAGAGAAGTTTTGACATACTGAGTCTAGGAGCTGGGAGGGAGGATCACTGCACTGTAAACAGTAACAGGGAAAATTCTTTTTAAGTTGAGAGAAAAAGGAAAGATAGGAACCTTTTTTTATTTTTGTTTTGAGAAGCTGTTGTTGAGAAGATGCCACAATTTTTTGAAGAGAAGCAATCTTGAGTGAAAGGCAGTAGAAATAAGATCACAGGATTATTTGCAGAACTGGCAATAGTTCTAAAACTGCTGATTCTAAAGAATATTATCTCTCCAAATTTAGACCTCTTCCTGGCATTACTATGTCCCAGGTGCAAAATCTGGCATTTGTTCCCTTCATTCACTAAGCTGGTGACATTATCATAGAAGGATATCGAATTAGTTAGACAGGACTTTCCCTTTGTGAACCCTTGTTGACTGTGCCGTTAAATGTCTTTCAGTAGCACCCAGTATGATCTTCATAGCATCCAGATGAAAAGCAGGGGACTACTTGTCCACTCATTGAAGGTTATCATACAGTCCTTCTGAGCTGGGAGGAGACAGAAGTACTTCTGTGCCATAGAATACAGACAGAAGATAAGGCTGCAGAAGGGGGTGAGGAGAATTGGGGTAGAAGTGAAATTGGTTTCCTTATTTCTTCATAAATTCATCCAGTATGTACAGAGTATATGAGACCATGTCTGTGGGCCTCTACTCAACAAAGCACCTTACTCTGGGCATGAATGTATTTGTGCTACATTTCTGCCTTTCAGTTGTGGGCAAAACTATTTCAGTGATGTCTAGTTAGCATATCATATGTGCAAGTCCAGCAAAGTATGTGACAAGCTACATGAAGATCTTTACAGTGTAGTTCAAATCTCTTGTTAAAACAAATAACTGTCTGGCTCATCAGTGCTTCCTCTTAAAAACCAAAGTCAGTGCATTGAAGGTCGAAAACCTTCCTGCAAAAAGATTTCACAATCTTGCAGAGAAAATGCCAAGGATACGAAGATATGGGAGAGAGGGACATGTTGTCTAATACTTAACAGAAATCGTACTGATGCTGAAAATACACTTAATAGCCTCCCGTCAGCATATCAGCTTTGATGAGAACACAAGAGCTAAAGAGACATATGACAAGCCTCTGACATATTTCTGCAAAATCTTGAACATTATGTTAAAGTCAGTAATTACAAAAGGTTTTGTATAGTTGAAGAAAACAAATGCCTCAGGAAGGCTTTGCTCACTTCAAATCAGAGAAGGCAAAAGGTCTTTGAGTTGTTGTTGGTTCTAAAAAAAAAAAATCTAATGATTTTTCTCATCCAAATTTAACTGTCAGTCGATAATCTCAGCTTTCAAACTCATTAACTCAAGAGATTATTATCTTGACCTGATAAAACTGAAGGTGAAACTTCAGGAAAAGAAAAATGAGGTCTGGAGTGCTTAGACTGAGAGTGAGGATGTTGCTGGAGTCTGGAATTCTATTCAGCTTCACCTACCCTTAATGATAACTAAATACAAGATTTCTAAAATGCTTATTTGTTGCTTACAGGATGTTTTCTCCTTATTTCTGTAAGTACTTACTGCCACAGATAATGATTTTCTGTGGTGGATAGGTAAATATTTGGAAAAAAACCACATAATTTTTCCTGATTTTGAACATAGCTATATGCACCATCCTGTCATTTTAAGTACACAGCTGTTGAAAACATGTTGGAAGTAGAGTGATTTTATATACTGTTATAATACAAAAGGTATCAGTTTTTGTTATCAGGCAGACTTCTCTGTTGTGTCACATACGTTCAGCAGTATAAACTTGAGGGAATTTTCTTTTTTCTTTCCAGTAAAATAACATTGGAATTCAATGATATGACCCTTCTATAATCAGTATTTTTTGTTATTCATATCAATGAGCATATTAATACTGAATAAATATACTTGAGCAAGTCTTAACTTGTATTCAGGCTAGCCAGGTAAGAAGCTGTGAACCTGTTTGATCCAGGAGAGAAAGGCCATCTGGTGATGGCTCAGCAGTTGGTTAGCTGGGATTACTGTTAGCAACACTGATTGTTTTCCTTTGCCTAGGAACTGAGCATATTACTTTCTTGTCTACCCAAAGTGAAAGCTCTTCAGGGCAGCTGTGGCTTCATCTTCAGATGCTATCTTCCTCCATACAGTGAGCATAACATTAAAGAGGGACTAAGTTAAAGAGAGTCTTTTATTCCCTGTTCACCACTTAATTGCTAGTGTTTATCTGAAACACAAGAAAAAATTTTGTGGCCATAAGATATGACCACCATCTCTTGCAGTAAGTATTACCAGAAGCATTACTCCTTTTCCATCCCAGGGCATCCTCACATTTTTGTTCTTCTTGTTTTGTTTTAGCCCTACATGTTGAGAAACTAAAGAACATACAGGAAATATTTTTTTGGTAGGTAACTGGACAGAGTCATACCCAATGCTTACCTCATCAAGACATTGTTGACATATAGGGTCATTTGAGACTGCTAGAAATTGATAATATTATCTGTTTCCTGTAGTAGCTGATACTGCTAGCCACAAATACACTATGTACAGAAATGTTTACTACATACTATTTGTGTTTGCTTGTTTTTTGTGCTGATTAGTCTCAAATCTGCAGAGTGTTAGTGCAGAGATGCAACAGAGAAGCAGGAAGGAGGGCACTGTGTAGGGCTGCAGAAAGATTACTTGAAGGTCTGTGGGTTAACCCACTTTTTTTTTTTTTTTTTTTTTTTAATGATACCACTAACCAAGTTCAGAATTGTGGCAAGAGAAAAAATCATAAGTATTATAAATGCTTGTTAACTGTACTGAGGATTTGTGTTGTGGGCTTCCTGTGTAACTTTGAGTATATTACCTCTGTTCTTTCCTCCAGCTTTCTTCACCTCGAAAATGAGAATAATATCACATTACCTCTCCACAAACTTGATCACCGTAAGACTACACTGATTCATGCCTTGAAGCTGTTGTCTTGCATGTGTCTACCCTTTAGTTACTACATGTTGCTCCTTAACTTCATTTGAAGGTGTGACTCCATACTGAAGAAGTCAATGTATTTTAATCAAAGTTACTATTAATGTAACTTTTCCTGCTTTGGTTGTAATTCTCAAATGTAATGCTTAGGCTAAAGCAAATAGGGCAAATTTTCTGGCATCAACTTCAAAGCAAGTATAGTACTAGATTATGAAAAATAAGCAATCATAACGGGCAATTTATTATTATTATTATCACAAATTATTATAATTATTATTATTACTTATTTAATTATTAATTATTATTATTTTCCTTTCCTTTTGCTGTCCTATTAAGCTGTCTTCATCTCAACCCACAAATTCTAGTTTCTTTTCCCAATTGTCTCCCATCCCAATGGGTGGGGAGAATGAGCAAGTGGCTGTGTAGTGATTAGGTGACAGCTAGGGTTAAACCATAACAGCTGTTTTTGGTGCTTAACATGGGGCATGAGAGGTTGAGATAATGACAGACCTGACCAGAGTGTGTTAAAACAAATTTTTATATAAGCACTAATTATATTAGTTTCATAGTCACTGGTCATGATATTGATATATTTGTTGTCAGAGTTGTTGTACTTGTTCTCAGAGTAACACCTTACTTGCTGCCAATGTTCCCTGTAGTGCTGCTTATCACATCTGGGGGCAGGATTAAGGTTATCATTTTGCTGTACTGTGTGACACTGGCTTATTATATGATAAAATTGCTGGTCGTGAGATTAATCTGGTATTTGTACTCAACGTTGCCATCATCTCTGTACTTCAGGAGCCATCTATTGGAAACTATTAATAATTACACCATTTACCTTTTGTCCTTGGAGAGCCAGTCTATGGGGGAGATGCCTTCCCCCATCTTACTCTTCTCCTCCAGGGTAATTACAGTAGCTCTTGAGAATTTTTAATATCCCTGGGATGTGCAAACCAGCACATTCTTATTGCTATGTCTCCTGGATGTGTTTCAGGTCTTGGTTAGGGTTAAACAACTATTTAAGAATACCACTCAGAGATCTGCCCTGAGGCTAGATTGTTCTGAGTGGCAGAGTGTGTGGGATAGTATGGGCAAGTGCTTAGGACAGTGGTCACCCCCACTGTTTTGGAACTTCAACCCTGAACAAGTGCGGAAACCTGAAAAACTAGTAAAATATTTGGAAAAATGTATGCTGTCACCCTGGCAATTCCAGAGAGACACAAATCACTGCAACATGCTGAGGCCTGGCCCATGCCTCCTGAGCCCTGTTCAACACTATTCAGTACCCTCAAGTAGAAGAAAAAGTCTCTGGATTTGATGACAAAACGACAGGCACTGCAGCTACATCAACCCTGGCAACAGGCGCTGTGGCCATGCAAACCCTGGTGACAAGCACAGCAGCTGAATCAGAGAACCAACATGTGCCAGTATCAGTAACCTCTATACACAAGAAGAAATATTGGAAATTGAAGCCAGCTTACTTAGCAAGGGATTAAGAAGCTTCTCCTAAGAGGAAACAGCAGGAAGAAGTGGATCAGGTAGACTACTCTGGATCAGGGCCACTATGAGAACGGGAGGAGGAAGAGGAAGAACTCATAAACAAGGCAGTAACCACACAATCCCTCTCCTTAAGTGAGCTGCAAGATATGCAAAAAAGATTTCAGCTGTCATCCAGGCAAGCATATTGTCACATGGCTGCTCCAATGTTGGGATAACAGGGCCAGAAGCCTGGAATTAGAGTATAGGGAAGCCAAACAGTTGGGATCCCTTTCTAGGGAAGTGAGAATTGATAAAGAGACTGGAAGAGGGTCACAGGTCCTCAGCTTCTGAAGGAGACTCCTGTCAGGCATGAAGGAAAGGTATCCCTTTAAGGAAGATATTATATGTCACCCAGGCAAGTGGACAACCATGGAAAGAGGTATCCAGTACCTGAGGGAATTAGCCATGCTGGAGGTGATTTATGATGACCTGGACAACAAGCAGTTATTCAAAGGTCCAAATGAAGTGAGGTGCATGTGACCCACGTGGCAGAATATTGTACAGAGTGCACCATCATAATATGTCAACTCATTGTCAGTAATGACTGGGAAAGACAGAGAAGGACAAACAGTGAATAAAGTGTCTGGCCAACTCTGAAAATACAAAGAAAGTCTCTCTTCCTCTCTCCTCTCATCTGTGAAGAAACTGGTCCAGGAATTTAAAGAGGTTAGATCCTATTCCCCACCTGTATGGACCAGTATCTCAGCTATTAGGAGTAAACATTCCTCTGCTCAAGAGAGGATATAGTGGGCACACACCACAGGCCACCCTGTGGTTTTATCTGTGTGACCATGAAGAGGACATGAGGAATTGGGATGGAAAATGTATCTTGACCCTAGAGGCATGGGTACATGCGTTGCAAGGAAAAACTGTATTGGGTTTGTGTGTGGCAGGGTTTTGGTAACAGGGAAGAGGCTACAGCAGTGGCCTCTGTGAGAAGCTTCTCAAAGGTCCCCCAGCTCCAACTCAGACCCACCTCTGGCTAAGGCCAAGCCAGCCAGCAATGGTGGCTGTGCCTCTGTGATAACGTATTTAAGAAGGGGAACCTGAGAGGAGGAGTTGTGAGGGAAACACCTATGCAAAAAATGAGGTCAGTTGTAGAAAGGAGGAGTAGGAGGTGTGCCAGAGCAGACTTCCTTTCAGCTTGTGGTGAGGCAGCAGACTGTTCCTCTGCAGCCCATGGAGGCCAACGGTGGAGCAGTTGCCCACATGCAGCCTGTGGAAGACTCCATGCTAGAGCAGGTGTCTGTGCCTGAATAAGGCCATGACTCTGAGGGAAGCTTGTGCTGGATCAATCTGTTGCTGCAAGGAATGCAGCCTGTGGCAGGGACCCATGCTGGAGCAGTTCATGAGGTGTTGCAGCCCTGTGGGAAAGACTCATGTCAGAGAAAGTTCATGGAGGACTGTCTTCTGTGAGAGGGATCCCATGCTGGAGCAGGGGAAGAGTGTGAGGAGTCTTCCCCCTAAGGAGGAAAAGGCGGCAGAAACAACGAGTGATGAACTGACCACAACCCGCATACATTTCCCTCCTGCACCACTTGAGTACAGGTGGTGGAGAAATCAGGACCAAAGCTGAGCCTGGGAAGAAGGGAGAGGTGGCGGGAAGGTGTTTTTAAGATGTGGTTGTACTTTCTCAATATCATACTCTGATGTGATTGTTAAATTAGTGTCGGTGGTGTTCAAATTAAATTGATGTTCTTTTTTTCCCAAATTGAGTCAGTCTTTTGCCTGTGACCATAATTAGTGACTCATCACTCCCTGTCCTTGTCTCAATCACTGAGTCTTTTGTTATATTTTCTTCTCCCCATCTCAGTGGGGGGGAAGTACTGAGGGAGTGGCCATGTGGTGTTCAATTGCCCTCTGGGCTCAAAACATGACAAAAAAAATCACAGAAGAGGGTTCTTTCAGGAAAATTGCTTCTCCAGTCTCCAGTGGGTAGTTCCCCAGACAGAGTAGAAGGGCTGATCTTATTTTTGATCTTGATGAAGTGACTTCTGATTTGTCTTTGCAAGAAATGAGTAGTGAATACTATGACCAGGACTAGAGGGGTCTTGCCTCCAGCCAGGTAGAAGAAAGGGACAGCTGGCTTTACTGGGCTGTGTGGATTCAGTGGCCTGGCACATCAGACCCATCAGAGTATAAGGCTCTACTAGACACTGACGCACGGTGTACCCTAGTACCACCAAGCTATAAAGGAGCAGAACCCTTATGTATTTCTGGAGTGACAGGGAGATCCCAACAGCTAACTGTATTGGACGCCAAAGTGAGCCTGTTTGCCAATCAAGCTGGTCCTGTCCAATCCAAAATTTAACGTACTAAAGAAGGGGACAAAATCCCTGTAGTGCACATAAAAAAAAAAATATGCTGGGGAAGACAGTCTGGGATATTCCTGCTTTAGGCAAAGGCAAACTCATCCATGGGATTGCTTTTGTGCAAGCAGTTGGGTGCACTTGGTGGGTAATGTGGAAGGATGGGAAAGTGTGATATGTACCTCAAGGGGATCTGATTCTGGGTGATAATAGCCAATGATATGAATTGTATGATGTTAATAGCTATATAACACTGTATGTTATAACTACTATGGTTTTTATAAGCCATATCAATGGTATTACAGTAAAAATTACCAAGATTAACAAATAATTAATTTTGATGAAACTGGGAAAAGTGCAGCAATGATAGAACTGGACAAGCACAGCTGTGGTGGAACAAGAACTGGGTTCAGCATGTAGGAATCCAATACCACACACCAAGTCTCCTGTCCTGAAGGACTACTATGACAGATGGAGCCCAAAGTCATAGACTAAATGACCCCAATGGCTATTTTAGAGGGATGGCCCATAGACTGAGGGAATTATAGCTGTGTATGCATATCAAAAGACAGGAAAGGATGTATTGGAAAATGTGGGACCTGGGCATAATATAAATGGTATAGAATAAAGGGTGGATATTGTCCTGGTTTCAGCTGGGATAGAGTTAATTTTCTTCCTAGTAGCTGGTATAGTGCTGTGTTTTGGATTTAGGGTGAAAATAATGTTGGAAACACACTGATGTTTTAGTTGTTGCTAAATAGTGTTTACACTAAGTCAAAGACTTTTCAGCTTCTCTCCCCACGCCACCAATGACTAGGCTGGGGGGCACAAAAAGCTGGGAGGAGACAGACAGGGCAGGACAGCTGATATTCCATACCATCTGACATCATGATCAGTATATAAACTAGGGGGAAAGCTGGCCAGAGGCTGCTGTCGGGAAGTGGCTGGGCATCAGTTGGTGGCTGGTGAGCAATTACGTTGTTCATCACTTGTTTTGATATTCTATTTTTTTTTTTTTTTTTTTTTTTTTCCCCCTTTTTTTCTTCACAATTCTCTTCCCCCATCCCACTAGGTGGGAGGAATGTGCAAGCAGCTGTGTTGTGCTTAGTTGCCGGCTGGGGTTAAACCATGACAGCTGTGTTCACTCAACTTTGGTCATCTCAGTCACAACTTTCATAAGAGCTAATTCAGCGTAACAAAGGTGATTTAGAAATAAGGAAATGGTTGTGAGGTTTGAACGCTGAGTATGAGCTGTCATGGAAAATTATCTCTACATAGTTGTTGATTTTCAACTTTGTCATAAAAAGTTCATGATGGTTTGTAAAAAATACTAATTATATTTATTAAAATTGTATTTTAGGAACTTGGAATCGTGGATAGTTTATTATCTACATAGCTATAGGAATTTCTGCTGCTGTCTTACTGTTAGTTTACCAACTGATTTTCTGCATCATCACTGCTTATTGCAAAAAGTGAGTAACAAACCAATTTACTTGCTATGCCGAAGCAGGTAGGTATGAAGGTATCCTACTATCCTCTTCAGAACCAATTAAAAAAATATAGATGTGAAAATTTAATTTTCTTTCAAAAACTTTGAACTTGAAAAGACTAATCATTTCTACAGCCTATGAAAAAAATAATTTTTTTTTCTTTTCTTTTTTTTTTTTCACATTAGGAAAACAAATGGCTTACTCAAGTTCCTTATTCTGCTAAATGATTACAGCAGTACTGGCTGAAACTTCATGCCAAGGGTGATTTGTAAGGAATAACATAAAACTAGGCATAGGCTGTTCCTATTTTGTACATAGAGGACAGGTGACATCTTGAGGTTTATCTACATCTTCTAGAATTTTCTGTCTTCTGATTTTATGTTCCGAATTTGCTCATAGCTGGATACAAACTAATAGTTTAAACCGATATCTAAGTTTGCTGTATTCCTTGCCAAATATATGCTAGTGGTCTGATCCAGAATTTCCACTTCCAATGAAAAATAGTGAGCAGAAAAACTATTTCTTCCCCTACTACAATATGTAAGGCTGCTGGAACTTGGCAATATTTTACTGTATTTGCCCCTGAAGTAAAAGGCATTTTTATCCAGGCTTTTATGAAAGACTGCTAATCTCAAGTATATTACAGTTTGCAAGTCAGAGGAAAAACTATTTGGATTTTTATTGTATTGATTGGTTTCAATAGGAAAGTAAGCAATAGTAGCTTTATTCCTTGTATACTGGAATTAGATATTTTGAACTATACTATCATATATGATGCAATTCTCTTTGCTGTGATTTTGACAATGTGCTTCGTCAGAAAGAAGAGGAAGAGGATCACAGAGGCCTTATCAACAGATTTTTACTCTACTCAGATCCAGGTAAGGTCAACTGAAGAGCTGGAGTTTACTCACATTTTGTATTGTATATTTCTTAACATCTTTCTCTTTTCTATCTGCTCTTTATATCCCTTGAATCTTATAGTTTAATATTAAACTATATAGACAGGAAAAATTAGATATTTTAAAGTATGATTATAGCTATTTACTAATTTTTTTATTAATATCCTTTAATGTTTTACAGCTACATTTAGAGATTTAACTGTGTTTCATGTAATTAACAAATTATCTTTTTTGGTTTTATACCTTTTGTATTATTTGTGCATTGTAAAACTAAGGCAAAAAATTGTATCCCGTGATGTCCTTTGTTTTTATCTATTTCTTTTAGTTCAGCTTCACTATAATTCATTGGGACAGCTGTTTCAGTGCTTCTTTCTTTTTGTATTGTAATAATCAGTGTTTTGGAGCTCTGAGTTTTTCCTCCCCACCCTTAGTAATCCTATTCAAGGCCTGAAGTTTAGAAGTGGAAAGATAGGAGCCAACTTTACTGCTTCTGCCTTGTCTCTTCATGCCCTAAGTCGGGATATAAAGTTATGCTGTGCTTAGGGAAATGACCCCATTTTCACATGAGACTCTGGCTTTCCATCTATCTCCTCCCAAATGGCACTTCTGTATGATCCAACAGTGAGCTCCACTGTTGATATGTCCTTTTAAAGTCCTTTGACCTCCTGCTATTTCAATTTATCTCATTCTGACTGCTGGGTCATGGTTTGTACCAGAATGAAGCTCTTTTTAGGGTGACCATAGGCTAGGGATGAGCCATTAGCTTCAGCAACTACCTTTCCTCCCATGCCAGTTCACCAAGGCACTGTCACATTAAGTTGTCTTAATGACATGACTAATTCTTAGTATGGTAAGTAACTGTAGTGATTAATGTTTTAAGACTGATGTAGGAGAGACTAGTTCAGTACCTGACGTGTGTATGTGAGAAGAAGGGGGCATTCCACTGGTGTTTACCAGGCAGCTGATATGAGACAGCTGGGAAACATATTAAAAGTGCAACTTCTTTTTTCATTTGAATTGAACTTGAAATGTATTAGTAGAAAACAAGAAAACAAAAATTATTTTGACTGATGGTTGAATATTTCCCAATAATAAATCAGCATATGAGGAAAATTTGCCGTTTTTCTCCTTTTTCAAAGTTGCAGCTGCTTTGAGAAAAGTAATTCCTTTTTTTTTTTTTTTTTTTTTTTAAATGTGTTTCTAGCCTGCTAATGGTTATGTAAGATCCAATCTTCATGTCACACAGAACACAGAAAGAAGAGGAGAAGAATCATCACTTGGGCAGGCAGAAGAGATTTACATCAACTACAAAAATATCTCACACAAGCCTTAGAGAAGATAATTGGAAATTTTCTTAAGAATGAATTAACCAAAGTGCAGATTTGCACCTTATACTTGCAGCTTAGACTTTATTTTCTTTGCACCAGTGAGATGTGGAAGGTCAAACTGGCTGCTTTGGCTTGACAGCCAGCCTGGACCAGGTTACACCAGGTGTGTCTGTGTTGTATTGCAGCCTGCAGCATTAATGTATCCTTTGATTCATATGTAGGATTAAAGATTATTTGTACTTCTGTAATTTAAACATTTTTGCCCAGTAGGCGTACTCCTAAGTAAGAATTTTAGAATAGCTCTGATGCATGGAATGGAGCTGCATATGTTTACATAAAGTTAATTTGGTCTGAGAAATCTATGTGTTTGGAAAGTCTATGTGACAAGGTGAGAAAGAAAATGTGCTCAATGTTGTCTGTGTCCACGATTTCTGCATTTCAAATTGAGAACTCTATAGAATAATAAATATCCATGATTTTTCACATAGGAGGTGTTATTTTGCTGCTGGGCAAACAGTATTATTCAGCTGACAAAAGTAGATATATCAGAGATCCTTGAACCTAGATTTAAAAGTATGAACAGAAGCTTGCTATCTGACAGCTGTGTGGTTTTACAGGCTTCTTGCCACTCACCACAGCTATTTCAGTTCTTTCTATTTGGGGATGGAATAGAAGTGTATTTTTCCCCCAACCCTCTCCCCATGCCCAGGAGAAAATAAAACATGAAGACGCCGTTACTGTTAGGTTATATTTAATAATAATTTATTATAAGGTTTAGTTGCACAAAAAATAAATGAGAACATGAAAGATACATGAATAAATGATGCAAAGCAGAAAAAAGCATGATTGAGAGCATTTACAAAACAATACACATATGTATCTATTTGTATGTGTGCATATGTATATATTCTGATGAAACCTACAGAAGAAACCACACAGAAATTGAACAAACAGACAAAAAAAAAAATCCTTAAATAAACAGAACTAGAAGGCAGACCTGAGAATTAGGATCTACGCATCTTTTAGCCTTTTACAAATCTGCTGTATTACTGAGGACAAAATCCCAGTAGATGGAGGTGTTACCATGATGGCTGACAATCATATATGTCTGCATACTACAAACTGTGTGCCTGGCCCACCTATGCTCGATTCCCCTTTTCTCTTGAAGCATTAATAAATTGCTGAATATGGGTTTTATTTTTATTTTTTTTTTTTGGAATGGGGTTGGGAGGGAGTCATCATGAGTCTGCCTACAGATCAGTTACTGGTTCCACTTGGCTGGCTAGGAAGGCGCAACAACAGCCTGACAGTGAAAAGCACATTTTGTAGCCTTCTCCAGTGAAAAGCTTTCTTCACGTGCACAGGATAGTAGGAGTCTAGGTTCTTCGGAGAATAATGTAGACACAAGGCTTCTCTGGACTATCTGAGTAATAATAGCATTGTATGGTTATCCTACACATCAGCTAAAAATCTAAAATCCTAAACCAAAGTGTCCTTCAACTTGTCACTGAAGACTTAAATTGTTTACAATATCATATACCATTAGAAAACATGTCATTTTGGTTTTGTGTACTCTTGCACAAGGACACATACACATTGCAAGGGATATATTTTTTCTTTCACTTATTGAAGGTTTTCAGATATATAAACACTTGCATGTGAAGTTAATGATGCACAGAACTGTACTATTAATAAATTAGTTTATTTCCTGAGTTATCAAATGCCATAGCAGATAATTCTAAGTTGTGCACAGCATTACAAATAAAACCCTGTAACATTGGGTTGTTTCTTTGATGATCCCATTTATATTAACATGCTAAAATGATAATGTAATGAATTTGATAACACTGAAGTTCTCAGCTGGAACCCTGATACAGAAATATCCATAAGCTGAGAAGTTGGTATTCTTTCACTGCTTGTAGAGACAGTTAAAATACATCCCTACTTTACTGAGGGTAAAAAAGTGAGAGACATTGAGGTTAAGTACCTGGAATACCAGATTATTTTGTTTATTTCTGGTAACGACTTTATTCATTGCTTCCCTTGGTACTTTTCTCTTGTCTTTTCAAAGTAATTGTTTATTTTTGAGATTTGAAGAAAAAAACAATCTATAATGCACAACTTTGCAGGTATGTAATCTGTTTTAATTCAACTTCCATAGACATATTACTTCTACCAGGATAGTCCACAGGGAAAATCACATTACATAGCATAATAAGAACAATATACTATTTTTTTTAAAAAAGAAACCCAAAACAACAGCTTCATTTTTGTACCATACCAGTATCAGTGAACAGCAGCTGAACATGAGACTGATACAAGTGAAAACCAAAAAGAAAACAGTCCAAAATTTATCAATATTCTCATTGGCTTAAAAAGCAGTAAGCTATACACTAGAGAAATTTCCAGAAGTGTAATTTGAAATGTATTATTAAAACTATTTAAATATTTTATGGATCTGGCAGGATGGGAACCAGTAAGAGCCTGTCTGCTGTGACAGAATTTGGATCATGTAAATAGACTTTCATGGTGTAAAATAGTACAAATCATTGTTTATTGCTGTTTATTTTCAGGATTTTCCATAGATTTGTTTTCTTTTTGTTTTTTGTCATTAAAATTTTTAGTTCCTTTTGAGAAAATTTCATCAACTGTAATTTGGAAATTTTATGTTGGACAACTACTGTGCTATTTCATGCTGTACCACTTGCCCAAACAGTTAAGAAGGAGGAAAAAAAAACAATCGAGGAAGTAACATGATACAACTATGGATAGCAACCAGCTCAGCATACTGTCTAGACTATAAGATAATTCTGTCTTTCTTTTGTTGTTGTTTTAAGGCCTTAGAAACTTTACTGAAAGAAAATAAATGTGATAAAGCATGTTATAATTAAAGAACTGAGTCTTGAATTGCTGTGTACTTTAGGTGGAAAAATTAGTCCATGGCATTTTAAGAAAAGTAAAACCAGATTTCTTTTCTATAATAATAAAATTAATCTTTTGTGCTCAGTGAAAAATGTAGATGTTTAAGTCCCATATACAAAGGAAAATTCCATGATTAATAGTACTACTAAGTCTTTAAATGTTATAAATTCACATCTCTCTTAAAAAATAAATCAGAAAAAAAAAATATTTGTAATCAGTCTTTGCTGGGAATTCTGAGTGTAGGAGAGGCAGTCACAAGAGTTTGGATCAACAAAGTGAATATGAAACTCACAGTCTATGAAATAAGGTGAAAGTTAAAACAGCAACATACATTATCTCGTTATTTTCTTTATTTATCTCAAATATGTTCCGTTACCTTAAAGAGTTTCTCTGATTACATAATATGTTCATGATATTGTTCATTCTGCTTGTTCACTCTCCCTCACCTGTTCATCTTGGGGTAAAACAATGTTTCTGTGAGGAAACAGCCTTCTTTAATGGTTGGACCTACGGTGGCAAGTGCATACACAGACCCTGAGGACTAGGATGGGGACATCTGGGGAGACCCTGATGAAAGTGGTTTGGAACAAGTGGAGGAGAAAAGAACATGCGGCGCTTTATTAAAACAGAAGGGAACATGGGTCCGCAAGCAGGCACCTGCAAACCATCATCCGTATGACTCCTTGGATGAGACCCGAGCTTGGTGAATTACAAGCTAACTTTTTGCACAAGCCAAGTGGAACTGAAACTGAATATTTGTGGAAAGTTTCTGTGATAGAGTTGGGATCAGAAACTATTAAGCAATGACAAAGTGAGGGGTTTCTGGGAACCTGTTGTGTTTCTGAGTGAGGAGCTGGCAGGCAATCAGTCGATAACATCTCCTATAGCTTATTGGGCTGGGGGTGTGGACCCCAAGGAAAGAGGAGACACCATTACTATTTGGGTAAAGGTGTTGTCAGAGCTAATGGAGGGAGTGCAAAAAGCTACATGTGTTCAGGTGGTGTATGAAGGGGGGCAGCAAGGGATGCCAATAGCTGCACTGGTGGACCCAGGCTACCTTACAGCCCTTTAGAGGAATACAAGATGCTGTAAAGATACATGTCCAGTCCCTCAGAGAAAGGGTTCAGAAGGCCATCAAACATAATCAGTAAGACCCTCAGAATCTGCCCACATGTGTTAACCTGGGTGGAAGTGTCACATCATGTAGTTGCTTACAGGTGCGAGATGCGGTGGACTGATCCAGGCAGCAGCACAGATGGTAACAGAAAAGCAAGCCAACTGAAAAAAACTGAACAGCATCCTTGCCAGGAGTCTGAAACCCCCGAGGCAGGCTAGGTCGAACTCACAATCTGAGAAGGGACATCATTTGATGAAAAGTGTTAGTACTAGGGGCACCCTGAGCAATGCTACATGGGCAACAAGCTGATTGCATTCAGAAGCTGGTGGAAAAGTTAGAGGGTAAAACTCAGGACCAAAGAGAAAGGCCAACAGCTGCACTCCCTCAGGAAGAAAAGTTTAACTCTTTTGCAACACTGTGAAGGGCACTGAAAGTTAAAAAACTAGAAGTTGTCATTTGGGGTTTGGGTCACCCACTCCAGATGGTAAATTCCTGCCAATGGTCTGCTGACAAGGAACACTATATACATATCCCTATGGGGCTGAAACTAATAATTTTAGAATTCTTAATTTATACAAGAGCCCAAATTAGAGTATTAAACAAACAACAAGCTGATGAATTAGGAATTAAACCATTGAGGAAAACTATAAACAGAATAGGTGTGATGGGTGCAGAAGAAAAGTGTCCCATATCTTGAACTCAGTTTTAGTTACCTGGGAAAAAGAGTGTGATGGCTGTGGAGGTGGCTCTGAGCTCTTATGAGGCAAATACATTAAGATTCAATATACTGGCAGGCAGATGATGGTACCTACTGCATTTGGTCTTATGGGACCTTTAATAGGTGACAACCCTATATCAGATAACCAAAAGGGCCAGTTCCCATTGAAAATGTATGTGGGCCAACCTTTAATGGTGAAACTGTCCTCCATTGTCATTGTACCCATGATCCTGGCAAAACCCAGAGGTCTATATGCCTGGGAAGCCCTAGATGGGAGTGGAAAAACCCACCGTATTAGTGTTTGGTAGATAATTACCAATTTTTAACACCAAGACTCAGCCTCAAAGGACCAAGGCCCACCTTTGTGTTTTCTTGCAGGACAATGGAGAAAAAGACCACCCTGTTGCTCCTACTGGCAAGGGTGATAGCAGCCAACATGGACAATGCAGACTTGGACGACAATGTGGTGACAAAAATGGTGGTGGGATTTGTTCAAATGATGAATCTAACCTTCGTAACAGTTTACGTACCTACTCCCAAGCCAGCAGAAGACCCTTTACCAATTTTTGTGCAGGACATTAATATGTTGTTAGCACTCAAGTTCACATAGAAACAATATCATAATTATACCTGGAGATTTGGGGATATTGAGGGAAGAGACTATATTTATATTGTCTACAGTTGGTCACTAGGCACGGTAAATGCTAGTTTGGGATGGGGTGCCAGATGTGATTATATTCACCAACCGACTCATGAAGCCACAGGGTGGAGCTGGAATGGAACTATAACATGTCCCAAAATTCAGTCGGGAACTACTGAATGTAATCCTCTATGGAGCATTAATGATCATTCCCTACAATATAAAAAAACATTAAGTGTCTTATGGTGTATTAAACACTCTGAAAAGGATAACAACAATTAATGTCCTAGTGTACGTAGCCAAAATTCATTTGACTGTCCTCTTAATTGCATCTAGGCTAGATATATCTATGAATCTAGCTGGGACAGAAAAAAGGATGAGGTATTCCCAGTAGGGAAATCTCCACTCTGGAACTGCCAGGTGGAGATCAGGTGCAAGGACATAGATAAAATGCCACTGCTATGGCTATATCCTCCTGCTCAGGAAGCTTTAATACAGGATGGCCTATGTAGTAATACCAGTTGCTTACAGCCCTCTGCCCTAGAGTGTAGTAAAAAAGACTACTGCTATCCCCTTACTACCCTTGCAGGTCTATGTCAAACATCCACTCTCCCTGAACCCCCTAATTTAGTGTGGGTATGTTCTGATAGCCACCTATATTCCTGATTACATCCAGCTATTCCAGGACTAGTCTGTATATTGGCTGTGCTTTCTCTCTGTCCTACTTGTTGGGAAGGACTCATACCACACCAGTGGTGGGATCATAGACCAAGGGACTTATGGAAGGGATGGCAGAAGACCTCAGCATGAATTGGATGGTGGATGGAAATGGTATTTGGGTTGGGAACGGCTCTGGTACAAAACCGACAAGCTATTCTGGAATTTGGTCTGCAGGTATCAGCCTTGGCTAATGCCGTGGCTGACAGCCTAAGACTCATGAACAAACAATTACAACGTGCCAGTAAAATGACTATCCAAAACTGAGCTGTATTTGATCTGGTACTATTGAAGGAGAAAGTTGCATGTGGAGTCGGAGTCCTGAATCTATCATCAGATGAGTGTTGTGTCTACATTCTGAACATGTCAATGTTCAGGATCAGATCAACAAAATGAAGAGAATAGTGAAGTACTCAGAGGCAATTGTTGCTGCACTAGGAATTGGTTGGGGAAAGGTTTTGATATGTTTGAGTTTTCCTTGTTGAGATGGCTAGTTACCTTCCTCCAATTTTTAATAATGGTGATAATTGTGATTTGTATTATCATAAGCTGTATTAAGCACCATAACAGAATCTATGTCAACTATAGAGCATACTCCCCTAAAATCCCTTCATGTATTAGATATCCAAATGCAACCTTAGGATAGTATTTACCTATTTGTTTGCTGCTGCTGATGATTATTGTTATATTGATTGTTGCTATGTGACTGATTGTTTCTACTGTTGGTTGCTGTCATATTGTTTGTTGATATTTCATTATTGATTATTGTTAATAATTTGTAATAGCCTGAAAATAATTAAAGAATGATGATCCACAGTGAGCATTAAAACTTTCTGTAACTGCACACCCTTTTAACTTTGGAGGCAAGAAGTGACTGTACCACCACTCCAAGGAGACCAGTTGAATTATGACTGGTCACAGGATAGATTGTGTGGTAGATGCACCCACGCCGATGAAGGCTGGAACTTCTTGACGGATGAAAAGAAAGAGTTAAAACTAGAAGCTGTGTTTTGGGGGTGAGCTGCCCAGTCCATGTGGCGACTGTGGTCACCCAAAGATTTTGGTTGGTGAGACTGTGGGTGAGACCATCACATACACACCTTGGTTGAAAGGCAGTAATCTTCAGTTGACAGGCAAGGCCCTCAGCCAATGAAACACCTTGGTTGGGAGAAGTTCTAGACTGCTGACCATATATGATCACAGATCAGATTCGACTAGGGTATAAATGGAGTCCTATTGAAGGAAAAATTGAGCCGGTCCTCCTTAGAGCAGTGGGGTTTGTAGTCGTGGTTTCTCCTCTTGGATCACAACTCCTCGAGGTTGAGAGACCACATCTTTTAGGTGAGTGATTTGATCATCTTGAGTCATCCTTTCTAAAGCTTAAGAATTCTTAAGGTAATTGTGCAGTAAATAACCCCTCTTACATCATGAACCTGTGGTTTGCTAATGTTATTGGAGTTCTAAATTATTTTGATAAAAAATAAGTTTTGTTAAATTTAACACCTGTCTAAATTCAGTTGTGTGTGCCTCCATAACACCTACCAAGGAGCACAAGAAGCTTGACTCTTCCAAACACCCATATTAAGCAGGGTAGTCTAACACTTAACCCTCTTTCTGACCTCCAGCTGCCCTGAATTCCCAAGCATCTTTTCTGCCAGGCACCTAAATTTTTTCAAGAACAATCAGAAATAGCTTGTTCTAATTGTGCAGTGCAACTTCACCTACCTCTTATCCAGGTCTTATCCCAGGACTAGGGAACAGGAGAGGATCAAGGCAACAAAGCAGCCGATGTAGTTAAAGCATAGGTGCTACCAGCATTTGTTTGATGACAGATGGACACTAGCTTACTCCTGAGAGATCCAAATAAGAAGCCTTACTTCAGAGGTCTGATCTCACTATCTGGTTAATTTTTAGTTTGGTTTGGCTTTTTGGTTTTTTTTTGAAGGAGTGATGGTGATTTTTTTTAATCATAAAGGCATCTGGAAGTCAGGGCTCTGACTTTTTAAAATTTATTTTTAAACCCTATCTGCACCTTTCTCTTCTAAACCTTCTATGCTATTAAACTATGCAAAAATTAAAATCAATGGCATTTATCAGAGTAGCTGAAACTCTGCCTCAGTGAGTGCTTCCCAGTGCAAGTGAGAGACTTACTTCCTTTAAAGCCTAGATGCTCAATAAGAGCTCATCCCTTAAATGGCTTTATAAATCTGACACTAAGGTCTAGTTCCAAAACCAGCACTGTCTGTCTACAAGATAGGTGCTAAAATGCTCTTTTAGGCTGTGGATCCCAGAAGTAGAAACTATACGTCAAGTTCTCAGACTGTATTATTTAAGGTGCAAGTAAGGTGACTCAAAAGACATTTCCAACACTCACACATTCCTGAGAAACTGTTCTGGGCTAGAGCACCAGATGTGCCTCCATTGACATGCCTCGCGGGGATGTGGTGTCAGGGTATGTGTGGGCTCAGGGTTGCCACTGTCCTTTTGACATCCAGTGAGAAAGATTTCACCCTGAAGCTAGAAACCCACAGTGGTCTTCAAAACTCTAGCCTGGACTAGGCTTTTCACCGTCACATGAAATGCTGGATGTTTCTGCTACAATAGCCAGTTCATCCAGCATCTTACCTGCTGAATCAGCCAGGAAATGGAAGAACTGGGCCCAGTTCTCCCCTGTCCTGCATCAGACACGCACCCCCTCTCCCCTGTCTTTCCAGCCTTTCCCCTGAAGCTGGGGTCCTGTACAGAAACAATTCATGTTTTAAGGACTAAGAAGGGCCTGTAGGGCACTCTTCCAGCAAGTGTCCTTGTTTCTGCTTTTGCCCATAACATGTTTTTTTGTTGTCCTTTCTAAGAGTAAAATGCATTAGGAGTTATGAAAAGAGGATGAGAATCTGGATAACCATGGGACAAACACATGATGAGTTTGCCAACACTTCCTTTAAAATAAGAGAGCCTCAGGATTATCGAGATAGCCCCACCTGTGGGAGCTCAGAGACTGCTGGAGAAGGCTGCCACCATGTCAATGCTCTGACTAGTTTCTTGAACACGATTAGGCTTGATTTATAAAGCTGTAGATTTAACTTACTATTTGTGTTATATTCTTGCAGTTATATATCCTTACATATAACTTTTAACAGAATGTTCAAGCTAGAAATACCAAAGGAAATGTACAAAGTAATCTAAGGCAAGTTTTAAAAGAATAATATGTTTATTACTTCCACACTATTGGCATTGTTGGTTAGTATAATTAGGTAAAATAATTAATATGAATTACTAGCAGAGGCTGACATATTTCTTCTAACCTTATGCTTACTTAAAAAGAGAATTCTATAGTTTCAGAAAAAAAGTGTCTCTGATTCTAAAGGATATTTAATGCCTTTCTTAAAAGTTTATTTAATTAGATTGTTACACTAAATAATTCATTTGTAGTATTAACCAGTAAGTTTTATAACATGATTCAGGTGATCAATAGTTTATCATACTAAGATATGGACAAATGAATACACAGTATCTTTCCTTTTTTTCCCTTTTTTTTTCTTCTAGTACCTTTCTCTATTTGTGCTAATGTCTATATGTGTATTTGAAAAGAGAAATATAAGTAAGGAATATGTGTATGTGTTAAAATTATTGTCTGTTAATACTATTTTTTTTTCTCCAAAAAAAACTGTCTGAAGCAGTAATTTATTATTTTAACTTTCCATAATTTACCCAACATCAGTAGTATGGAAATAACTTTCCCATAGAATTCTGTCAGATCATTATGTAATTAGACACATAAAAGCTGAGCACATATGTATGTATTTTTATGCATCATAAATGCAGACATTGATTTCATTACCCAGAATTTGATCAGCTCTGAAATATTCTAAATCATATTTTTAGCAATATCTGGCTTCACTAAGTTGCACAAAGTTGTGTCATAACAATTGTGATGCATTGTGCAGAATGCTATTTTCTTAAGCATCTATATTGCGTAATGCATGGTAGCTGGACTGGTACTTGGTCCTTCCAGCCAAGTTAAAGAAAATGAGCCCAGTACTCTCGAGTCCATTGTTACAGAGCAACTTAGAGCTGTGAGTTGGGTTGAACACAAAATATAGTTCCCAGCTCCTGATAAAGTCAGAAGTTGAATGCTCTGGGAAACTGTTTTGCACTGAACATGACCCATTACTATGGGTCTAAATGTCTGCTAAATTCTCGTAATATTTTTAAAGTTTACAGATTTTCTTTTATTATTATTATTTCTCACCTTATTTTTCATTTGATTTTTATTAGGTTTCAAAAACTTATCTCTCTATAATGATCTTTTTGAAAGAAGGAAAAAGAAATAAAAGGTGTGCATGTGTCATACTTTGGTAGGTAGTCATAATACTTTTTTTCTGCATTGTCTGTTTTTCCTAGTAACCATCTTAAATCAGTACAACTTACAAAAAGCAGTTCTGTATATCTCCTGTCACAGCCTGTCATCTATGGAAACTCAGGAAATGCAATAATTTACATCAACAAGGATTGCTTTATTTTACATCATTTATTCTGTTTTAGCTATAGGAACAGCAATGAGCACAAACTTTAACTATAGCTTTTATTTTTTTTACTGGTATAGAATTGCCAAGACAGATGATTAATTTTGTGCTATTTTCTATGCCCATTGCAGGCTTGTTATCATACAAATTAAAAAAAAAGATTGAAAACAATGTGTAGCCTATATTAAAAACAAGGGTAAACTTCATTCATGTCAAATATTGTCACAGGAAAAAATCTACTGTAAAATCTATCCATTCACATGACAATCCCAGGATTGTAAGAGAAAGTGGTAAATCTAATTAACCTCATGAGGATTTCTGTACTGAAAGAAAAAAAAAAAAACAGCAATGAAATAAATTATTTGAGACTTTCAGTGTGAGATTTAAAAAGATTAACTTAATCTTAGAGAGCATATTAGGTTCTGAGCTTGCATTTAGTTAAAAAGGAAATATTTTCTACATTACAACTTGCAATATTCATAACAACGTGGACATTTTAAAATGCTTTAATTATATTTAATCATACTTAAAGCAGAGTTGCTTTCATATCTGTTTTATCCATGTCCATAAAAATCTGTCAAGTTTCATGTGCATGCAAAGGTGCAAAAAGCATCTTTGCAAAGTGAAACTTCCATTTTCTTCAATAAAACCTGTTCATCTGTGGATTCTAATATTTAGGTTTCTAAGCATAATTCCATATAAATAATTGCTGAATACACAGCACTTTCACCTATCACCTTTTACTGTCTTGTAAGGGCCTGGACAGAGCGACAAACTGCTGGTTACAACAGGTTAATCAACTTTTCTTTCATTCCACCATATGCTTGTACTTGTTTCCAATATAACACACCTTTTTATCTAAAATCCAAAGAGCATTTATTTATAATATTCAGAACAAACATAGCACCCTTTATGAAGTGCAAGACTTTATATCTGCAGAATTATTATACCCAACCTTATACTCTTTGATTTTAAAGTTATGCTACTACAATGGAGTTGCACAGTCATTATCTTCTACTTACAAGTATAGGCAGGCACCCCAACCAGTTGTTTGTGGTGAAAAATACAAGATTCTAATATATATACGTTGTGTAACAAGTTGGTTTGGAAAGAGCCACAAGTATCTGGATGATGTACAGACAAATGAAACTTTCCCATTGGACCTGTTCTTGTAATCAAACAGCAGCTTTTCACACTTCCCCACAGCCTACTCTATCCTGTATATGGTTAAAAGCCACATTTATTCCTTTGCAGCAGGTATAAAAAGGAGCTAACATACACAGATACTAAACAATATAAGAGAGATTAATTGGAACACCTTCCTCCTTCCTTTTTAGGAAGAAACAATTGTAAATAATTCTGTATTTCATGCTAAGAAACACAGCCGTTCAAGAGACTTTTATTTTCTCATGGAAAACCACCCTGCAGTTTCTAGGTTACCAGATGAAAACTAGTAAATGTGGCTGGTGAGCTAAATCTGATTAGAGGTTTATATGCTACAGGCTGATGGTCTTTGTCAGCTATTAGAGATCAAATATCTCAGAAATCCCTACTTCCCTTAATATTGCCTATTAGACTGGAGAGATGAACAACATGAAGTTCATTCCTTTTCTGATAAATGCAATACAGAGATCTGACTAATGCTCTTTTTTTCTCTTTGCCATGAACAGGTATGGGTCTTCACAGACTGCCTGCACTTCACAACTCCTAAATAAATGGGTGCTTGAAGACTGTACGTTGACCTTAATTTATTGCTATAGAGAACACTTGGAGACTTTTCACCCCAGATATTCAATTTCAGCAAAGTCTTATTAGTTTAAAAGAAGAAGACTTGATTAGAAATGTGTTTGCTATTTCCCAACAGGATTTCTATTCACGTGTTGTGAAATGAAGTATTTTCCCAAAATGTCATGGCAGACTTTTGTCAAAACAAATGAGAGCAGCTACTGTTGCTGTCTAATAAAGCCCTTTGGTTTGTCAGTACATTTCAGAGATTTAGTTGCTAGCTTTAGGGGCGGGGAAAAAAAAAAAAACACAAAACAATGAAAAAAACACAAAACCAGAATTTTGCATGGGCTTGATACATGTGAGGAGCTGGAATCAGAGCCTACCACAGAAAGTAAAGCCTAAACATTTACTCAGTAAAACAGCAAACCATGTCACAATATAACTTCTTCCTTTTTCCTTTACATAGACATGTAAAATTGTTTCAAAGGAGTATACTCACAGATGATTTAAACTATCAGTAATAACATGCAGCTGTTTAAAAAATGGGGCTACTCAAATACCTTGGCACCATTTGATGATTTATTACCATCTCCTCCTATTTCTCCTTTTCTGCACCAAATGACTTCAAAATCAAAAGTGCCAGCATGCATTAATCTATAAAATTCACAGTTAAGATATATTAGGAACTATATTTTGTAATGCTGCGTGTTATTTGTTCATAGGGGTGAATATATTGTTATCAAGGGTTATTTTTAAAAAAATTAAATCATGTTTACAGTTAAATATTCATAACACATCCTCAGAACTAAAATTAAAGTGATAGCCTTATATTATTTCTTCTATTTTACAATGTACTAATGCTAAGTTCCATTTGTACCATTTGCACTTGGTTACCACTGAAGACATTTTGTTGCCCTCCATCTATTCACAGCTCTTTAGCTGAAAACAGAGAGCTCCTCTTGGGTCAGCAGTAGATGTATTATCTGTGTGCCTGGCACACGAAGAAAGCCAAGACTTGAACAGGGACCCATGGGGTCCCTGAGCCTATTTAAAGGCTCTTGTAGTCTCTAGGCAGGCAGCTCTACCACGTGTGCCAAAAGACAGTTTTTCCTTCTGGCAGAAGCACTAGGAGCTGTACAAAGTAGTCCCAGCGGGCAATCACTTAGGGTATCGACAGGCGTATGCCAGGCACTAAAGCAATTCCGTGAAAACAGAATTTTCTGGCAAACTGTGGGTGTGGTGCCTGCCTGGTTCTCATGGAGATTTTCTGAGGAACATTTCTGGCAGCTATGCGAATTCACAAATGTTAAGTGATATCACCTCTTGTTCTGGAGCAGCACTAATAATGGCAACATCGACTGGTTGGTGAATACCTTTGTGCTTTGGGGGCCCAGTTTTCTTAGATTATGTTACAGTGTACACACTGTAAAGTTGCAACATTATTTTCAACTTCCAGCGTGGTTGTGTTTACTCTCTACAAGGAACAGGTTACCAGTAGGTCAGCACAGTGAGCATGTGTCATACTTTGGTAGGTATGACAATAGATCAGGTTTGCTTTTCGTTGGTTGCGTTCTCCAGCTTTTTCCTGGAGTTGAGTTTTCTGCCTATTGGTACAAGATGGGAACTTCACAAATGTTTATAACTGTATGAGTTGAGAGAATATTTGCATTATGTAATGAAACCAACATATTCAGTGAAACTTCTATACATGGCCAAACTTCTATACATGTGTCATGCCCCCCTCCTTTTTTTTTTTTTTTTTTTTTCTTTTTGTGTGCTTTGTTTGGAAATAGCATTTACATTTTCATTGACTAGACAATATTCATGCACTGCATAAGAGGACAAAACTATCTGTGACAGGAACCATCCCCCAGGGAATGGAAAGAGCACACTAATAGGAACTTAAGCTTTTTATCTAAACACAGCTAAAGCACTAGCTTTAGGGATAGGTTCTTAAAGTATATGGGTGATGGAACTATAAAGCAGTTTTGATACTCTCCCGTTATACCTTTTTCCCATTTTTGGACTGTGTACAATATGTGAGTATTAAATGACTAATATTCAAGTCATAGAGGAAAACAGTTACATGGACACAGCATAGAAATCTGCAGAACATACTGGAAACTTAATCTAAGGAATTTTAAAGCAAATACATAATTTTAGGGCACGTGAAAGAATCGCAGTTGCATAGGAATAAAAATAACTGGCCCGTTCCTCAAAAGGTGTATACTTGGCAAAATTGCATTGAATAATGGAATTACACCAGAAAAGTATCCATCCATTTGTATCACATTTTGCATGTAAAATTTACAAACTGGAAATTTTCCCAAAGCAAAATGCCAAAGAAATTTTTTCTTAAATGGAAGTGTGGATGAAGCTTCCTTGATGGGTACAGCTCAGAGAGCACCATAGGTACAGCTCCCTGACAGTGTGGGAGAGCAATTTTTCATTTTAGCTCATCAAAATACTCTCTGTAGGGAGCCGTTCTATTCCTGAGTATGGCAGCACTGTGAGAAGGAAAAGAGGTAGTGAATGAGACAGGGAAAAAGAGGGAAAATAAATAAAGCTTATTGTGGTGGGGTAGAAGAATTTCATTCAAGCAGATCATGAAGGTTTTTTATTCAGCAGCTGTTCACTGAGGTGTAGAAAGCTGTAAGTTTGCAAGGTCTCTTAGCCTGGCAAATGGTTGGAGGAAAGCTGGACATACTGTATCAGTAAATGTTTAATCAAAAGCAGACGTTTCTTCCGTACTTTTTAATACATATATATATATATGTGCATATTTAAAACAACCCAACAGAACTTTTCCAGTTAAATTATGGTACATAAAACTGATTGTTTCATTGGTAAAGTGTCCTCCTTGATATGCTTCCTCAACCTGTCCTGAGAAACAACTAATGAGTCGAATCCCTCTGATAATCATGGCAATCGTTTCACACTGGGAACAGAACACAAGACTACTCAGATCATATCAAGAGGGCAAAGTTTTCTCCCAACAATTTCAAAAATTTCAGGGCATTGTGAGGAGTACATAAATATTTGATACCACTTATAAAAATCTAAACGTTCAGGATAGATAAAACTTGTTCCCCAACTACAGGTATGCCTTCCAACTTATTCCCTCATTACTGATTACAAACACACCTACTACAGTTCATTTTTCAAAGACGTCTTCTAAAGACAAAAAATTTCCATTGAGAGGTACTCATCCTCCTTTTCAAAGTAAATTGATGCTTGACACATGTACAAGATACAATGTGCATCTAAACCAGAAATCTGAGAAGGAAATGGAGAAAATCAAAGTAATGCTGACCAGAAAGACAAGACCAGAGATCAGCTCTACTGTATCTGGCCCAGCCGTGGCACAGGCGGTCACCAGTCAGGGACATGGCCCGTTTTTATTTGTCTGAAGTACAATTTTCCCACATTATAAAGTAAGGTTTGCAGGCATGGTTACCCAAATAATTTGCAAATAAGAAGACTTTGCAGCATTTCCGAGGATGAGACTGTGCTGCTGCTATGGACGTTCACAGCTCTCAGGGATGTCATGAGAATTACGTGTGTATTAGTAAGGGATGAATTTGTGCCCTGGGAATTTAAGATTAGAGCTGTACTAGGCAATAACCTTACCTTAATGCATCAAACTCTATTCCCAACAAACTGCATTAGCCTGCTACTCCAGTATCCATTGGTGTCTGGCTCAGAAAACACCCAGCCACCCTCTTGGGTAATGAGCAAACTTGCTTGGATCCGAAGGTGACCCCTGCACCACTGATGCTGTGTCTTGAGTGGGCGACATTTCAGCGACTCTGGTGGGAATCAGTGGGCTGTGGCAGGGATCTAAAAATGTTACGGGTGAAGACGGGCCAGCCTGCTGGTGGAGGGGGTTAGAAAGGCCCCGATGTCCAATGTGCCATTGCGATGGAGCCCCAGAACAGGCCTTCTCCGGTCATGTAGAAACCTTCACACCAACACAGTTTCATTTGTTTCCATCACTTTCTCACAACACGAACGTGCCCCCTCCCCCCCACCCCCCTTCCTTTCCTAATGTATCGACAAAAGGAACGGCAAAATAAATAAATAAAGACTTAGCCTCTGCTTCGGGGAAGTCGCCTCTCCAGGTTTCCGCACTGGCGGCGACCTGGCTGGAGCTTGTAGGCATCAGTTTTCACGGCAAATGGTGGGTGCGGGGGGGGGGCAGTGGTTCCCCGGCCCTGGTGCCAGGCTCCAGGCTCAACTGTCTCTCTCGGCTGGCTGCCCGCGGCCGTCATTGAACCAGGCCTGAGCCGTAGCTGAAGGAGTAGCTGCTGGCCAGTGAGAGGGACTGCTGGTGCTCCTCGCCCTGCTCCGAGGGGTAGCTGGGAAACGTCTGAGCCCGGGACACCTTCGCTGAGCCGAGGCTGTGACCTGTGGGGGAGGCACATGGACACAAAAGATGTAACTGGGCTTTAATTTAATTTTAATTTATTGGAAGCCTTTCACCACGGACATGGACTCTGATAGGCTGACTTCATACTGCCTGTCATGCTTTGAGCTCAGAGGGCCTCTAAGCACCATGCAGTTGCTTACTTCCCCTTCCCCCTCAGCACTGAGAAGGAGAAAATAAGCCAAGGCTTGGGATTTGAGATAAGGACAGGGAGGGATGAATCACACATTACAGTCATGAGAAAAAGACAGACTTGTTAGGGAAGGAAAAAAAAGAACATAAATTTATTACAGACACTAACAACACTTAACAGACAGAGTATGACACTGAGAAGCATTACCGTTAGTATTTTTTTTTTTAATTTAATGCAAACCTAAACCCAGAAAGTTGCATGATTATAGGTTTTAATTTTGTGTTCCAAATCTGGAATTTTTCATTCTAAGGATGTGAGGCCTTGTTTTCTTTTTACCCAGAAGCTAGAATCGTATATATGTCATTATATATATGGCAGCATAAGGTGCTGCCATAGGGAACTGCTAGTCCAGCTATGTGATTAAGTATGTAAAATTTTTCTCTGTCATATCAATAAAAATAAATAAAACATGTCAAGGCACCATTTTCCTCCATTCTCTTTATGTATATTATCTATATGTATTTTATCCAAAAAATGTAATACACACAAACAGTCCCTGTGACAATGAGCAGGAGTAAAGACATTTGTCAACCAAGGGAGTTCCCTAAACCCAGGCCTATTTGTATCATGTTCTGTATAATTAATTTTGATTTCACTTCTGTAGAATTGTGGAACTTTCATATAGTAATGAAGAGTGTCCCTCCTAAACTAATTTTTAGATAAGGTATTAAGGCAATCTCTCAGAATATAGAAGACAAATTTTAACCTATTAAGTTAAAAAGGTAATTAAGTTCAGGTCTTCCATTTCCTGGATGTATGCCTCAGCTGCCGGCACATCCCTTACTGTTCTTTAAAAGAAAATCTGTAGCTGCTAAATCTCACAACAGGCTGATTTTAGCCATTCTGTAATGAAAGGGGTTAATGAGGATAAGTGACTTCTTCCCTGACTGCTAGGACATGCAGTCAAAGAGAGAGATATACAGTCAGATCCAAAAGATTAGAAGACACACTCAACAGAGCCAAAAGATCTAAGACACCTGGTCGAGGTTCAGGCTGAATTGTATGACATCGATCTATGGAAATAGTAACAAAAAGAATAGAAGACATCGGTTCAGATGAAATGAGAAAGCTAAGGGTAATAGAGAATTTGTGAGTTTAGGAAAGAATGGCTTTTTATGATATGTTTACTTTCAACTTACATTTTTTTAAAAACAATGAACTATATTAATTTATTAAATAAAATGAATAAGAAAATAATGTTGGTAAAATAATGGAATAGTCCAATGGTTCCAAGTTGGTTTAAGACTTCTAAATAGTAAAATTCCAAAATTTAGGCTTTTGTTCAGCTTTTAAAAAAAATTAGTGTATCCTGTACAGGAAATTCTAAATGATAGTAGATTCTTTTATTTGCATTCCTATAAAATATTATTGTAATATTCATACAGCTGATTAGCCTTATGGATTCTTAGGTACTGCAGCATCTCCAAAGTTATGCTTTATGTCACAAGTAAGGATTCTGAATCTAAAGATATAGGAACAGATTTTGCAGCAAATAAATTAAGTTCCACAGATTGCTGCTTCAATAGTATTTTCTGTGTCATATTTTGGCCTTAAAAGGTTAAGAGAGAAGAAGAATGCTGTTTGTGGATTTTACAGCTGTTTGGTACCACAGCTGTTTTCAAAAATACAAAACTAACTCTTCTCTACAGTTCTTCTGAAGTCAGCATAAGACGAATTTGATTAAGACATACTTCATGACCTGAAGACACCAGTAGAAGTGGGGGAGGTTTTTTTCCTGTAGTTTACAAATGAAATGTATTATTTTTTTCTGTTCTAGGACAGGACCTTGGAAAGATAAGTATTATTCAGCCTACTTCATCTTTTATTTAAATTTACTCTCAGGATCATAGAATGCAATGAAGCTGTAGTCCAAAGCAATTAGGTATGAATGATTCATCAAGATAATTTAATGTAAACTGGCAAATTACACCAAAATTAGATTTTTCCTGATCTTAATTATGTTGGAAGCAGAGGCAATATACACACGGATCCTATTTCATGGCATGGTGCTTATTTATAACAATTCTTTAGAGGAAAAACCCGATTGTTTCCTAGTAACTGCAGTGATTGATGTACATGAAAGTAGATCGATCAGAACTTCTAAGAGAAAACTTGCAGTACTCAGCTCCATTAAAAGAAAAGGAAAAAAAAAAAGTAGAAGAGGTCCAGAGATAAGGTTTAAAAGCTCCCCTTACTGATGTATTTTGAGAGATGTTTCTCTCTGTTTTGGATTCAGAATTAAAATTCTTAAGCAGAAGGCAAATGCCAAACATTTTTCTTTTCTAAACAAAAAAAGGTCATGCTTTTCTTTTCCAACATAAGAATTCAAGGGACTCTCTCATCTGATGTTCTTCGGTTAGAGCACTCACCTGTGATGTACAAGATAAGTTAAAATACCCCTCTGCCTGTGGTAAGTTTCAACATTACACATTCTGTAATTTAAAAATGATCTGTAAATGTTCCCTTTCTCTTCTCTGATGACACTGCTGTTCACTGCCCCTCAGTTGTGCCATTGCGACTGAAAGGCTGCTTTGTAGGCTGAAGCTCTTTGGTCATCTGGTTTGCAAGAGCCCTACAAATTGTTGTACTGGCATAGACGAGGAGCAGGAACAAGCAGCCTAAGGTAAGAAATGGCAGGATTTTTCTCTGCCTGGCTTTAGTGCCAGATAGTTTGTCTGGGTAATGTATTGACCTGTGAGTAATATGCAACCAAATACAGGCAAATGCTACAGCCACCAGACTGCTCACTTCTCTGATGCAGGATCACTTTTGAGACCCTGTGACTGAGCTTTTCTAATACAAGACCTAATATAAGTGTATATTTTTGCCGTATAATGATTAAAAATTAATAGAATCAGAGATTCCTGTGTTTCAGCTTCTGTTGCAGGCCTTTTAAGTACCTCATATTAGATAGTCATTAGGTAAAATAAAGAAACAGACTTCTGCCACTGCACAGCAAGATTTCATCTGGGATTTCTTAACCTCTGAACAGATGACTTTACAAACAGAATTATGTTCTTCTAATGCAGTTTTATTTTTTTCTAGGTAATAATAATAAACTTTATTTTTTAAAATAAAATTTGGCATTTCCATTCCAAAGATTATGAGCACAAAATTGAAGCCATTAAATTAAAGTCAATTGGATATCTTTATTAGTATTATGTTTTGTACTTGGGAGTGCTCTGAGACTTCATGAAGACAAGAGCTCTGTGATTGCTATAGATGTTTCTGTAAATGTTACAGAAAGACGTGGTGGTTCAAAAGAAATTTCTATGAACCAGTCAGTGCAAGCAAAGACCAATTAAAGTGAATCATTTGTTCCAATGTAAAGCAATCTATTCTTTTTGAATATTAATTGGAAAATTCTGTTGTTCACAATAAACAGAACAGCCTGGAAACCAGTGAAACAGAGACAATGAAGTTTTATCCACAAAGGATGGTGCAAGGAGGTGGAAAAAACCCCAATTAGCCAACAGATGTTTCAGGAATGAAACGTTAGTAAGAATGAGTTAGTTGTATGTTGTTCCCTCACACAATTCTCACCGGACAATAAATGCAGCCCTTCAGCCAGAAAAGTTCACAAAACTAGTACTAGCCTTTAATCTAGATTTATGTTCTCTAAGGACTTTCCCAACAGCAGTGAAAGCTCCTGTTTATGCCAGAGGAGGCCCACGGATTGCACTAAGGATATGGTTTTGATGGGGAAGTGTGTCTTGAGGTGTTTCAACCTCTAATATTTGCAGAATTTTTGTTAAGACACAGGACAAAACAGGAAAGTCACTGTAGCTATGCACTGAAAGCCCACTAGGGAAAATGAAACACTTACTGCAAGAAGCTAAATTATTATGACTACTTATTTCAGATGGAAGCTTTTATACTCTAAGAGCTTTTGTTGCAAAGAAAGAGACTCCACATTTTATTCTGGAAAGAGAAAATGTTCCTCAAAAAACCCTACTACAATCTCAAATCAGTTAAGTGGCTATTATTGCATCAAAAAGGATACTTTCATTTAAGGCAGAAAATAAATGATTGCTGTTATCCTATTTATAAATTGATACTGGTTAAAATTCTGCCAACTCTCCGTATTGAATATACAGTGTCTTCTATTGAGCTGTCGATGACAAAGCAGCTTTTCTTTTTTTTTGCTGTTAGATGATTGGAATAACTAAAGCAAAGTTTCATAGCAGGACAAACTGCTACAAAGCAAAACATTTATTTTGCAGTAACGATGCAGTTGGATTGGAAGGGCAATTAATTGGTACAGCAATTATTATGCTGTCACTCACAAAAAGATGCAATGGAAGGGAGCAGATGGAAACTGAAAAATAGCATAAACTACATTACAGCATATTGATTTCCATATGCTTATTGAAAGTGAAACTGTGGGTCTGTTTCAGTTCCAAATAAAGAGATACAATTTTTTCCTTGAATTTAACTACAGTTGGAATTAAAACTCCAGGGAGCACAGCTGGGCTTCAACTTTTATATTTTCTAAAATAATTTTGAATTTCATTTCATTAAATATTTATCTTTCTGAAGGGAAATTGAATATTAGGAAACATAATTTTTGAGAAAAAATTTTAAGAAAATGGTTTAGTCTATTTATTAGAAATAATTGTGAATAAAAATAATTTAAATTGATGATTAAATATATAGGAAATGTATTAAGAGAGTGAATGAAAAAAAACCCCTCCTAACATTTAAAAATATTTCCTTTTAATTCTCAATTAAAAAGCATTTACCTTTTCTTTATAATTTGAAATGAAATCAATATTTTTTTTTTTTTTT